GTGGGCGCGCGCCACGCGCTGCCCAACGCCAATCAAACGGCAAAGTGCCGCCACACCAGTGGGGAACCGGATCTTCTGCGGCCGTGGCGCACTGTGTTGCGTGTAGTGCGCGCATGCTCGGGAGCCACCGCCGCTGACGGTGGCGTTGGCCGCCGCTGGTGGGCACGCCGGGTCACGACGGGGTCCGCCGGAAACGCGCCCCCGCCGTGACCCCGGGGTCACGTGGCGTGGCCCGGACCATAGAGTACCGACGACGACGCCCCCCCGTGTCCGGTAGGATTCTTCGTTCAGTCGGAAAGCAATGCGGCTGAGCCTACCGTGCCGGAAGAACGGCGGCAAGACGCTTGCGCAGTGAATCGGGCACAACTGACTGTGTCGGTATGGTAATAATCACCGCTACGAATGCAATGATGATGCTCATGATGAACCAGTATACTGCGCAACGGATTGAACCTGACGGTTGCGTAGCCTGTCATTGCTGCGCCTGATTTATCCTTCTGTGCGGTCCACCGACGTGGATCAGTGGCTGGGGTGCTCAGCTGCAGTGCTTACCCAGAGGTCGCCGGTTTGACCCCCGTCGAGGTGGTCGTATTTCGATGGCGACGGAATGATTGAGCCTCATGTGCTATACGACAGCAGTGCACGTTAAAGAACGCCAGATGGTCGAAATCTCCGTAACCATCTACAACGGCGTCTCTCATAACTATATCGTGGTTTTGGGATGTAAAACCCCTTATGTTATTATTATTATTATTATTATTATTATTATTATTATTATTATTATTATTATTATTATTATTATTATTATTATTATTATTATTAGGTTATTGCATGATACACAGTAGCGTATCCTGTGAAAACGCTTTCAATAGGGGTTCTAAGATAACTTGTGGGACGTATACAAAAGAGCAGTCAGTCTCGCGATACCTGTCATTCAGTGTTCGCTTTGAGATGAATGGCACTGCAGACATCGAGCGACATCAACGGACTCCCATCTCCTTTGGAAATGACTCAAACGTGCTCGCCCCGTTGGTATCTATACGCCAGTCGTTCGGGCTCCATTTGTACATTTCCCTTTTATTAATCACCAACGCGGCGAAATGTGGCGACGCCCTTTCACAGCGGCACGCATGCGCGCCTATACGTACTATCTATCCACGGCCATGGCTGCACACCCCGTGGCCGCCTCTTGAACAAGTGAGAATTCCACGCATGTCACGGCCGCACTATCCCCAGTTTCACGCCAAGCCAATCCACCGGTCACGCGCCCGCCCTCGATCCATCCCCGGTTCACGAAGTTGCGCTGCAAAGACAAGTCATTCTTTTGCACTTTCTCTTTTTTTTTCCCCATTTCTCTTGCCGACTCATGTACACCCTTAGTATATGTGCTTGTGGAGCGATTTGCGTCGTTGCATAACATCCCTCCCTTCATTTTTTTTTTTTTTGTGCGCGTGTGTGTGCTTTGAACGGAACAACGCGGAGTTAATATAGACTGTTCGAAGTTCGAACGAAGAAACGCACGCATATAGCTGAGCAAAACGAGGGTCACGAAAAGCGTCGCGGGAATTTCTCTGAATGAAAGCACCTTCCTTTCGTCCTCCGCACTTGTCCTTCAACCCTCCAGCAGCTCCTCTCCTCTTTCGTGTACAGTCTGGTCATACGCCGTCTCGAAGCTCGAACTGTGCCCCGACCTGATCGAACGGCGAAGCAAAATCGGAATCGGAAACAGTGCGGCCGCTTCGTGCACGCGCGAATGCTTACAAATAATAACACGGCAACGAAGACCCGTGGAGAAGAGATGGAGTCGAGACTAAAAGCTTTGTGTGTAAGGGGAGAGAACGTATAAGGGGGGGGGGGGAGGGTGCAGTTCGAGAACGAACGGACGTTTATAAACGCCCTCGCCACTGACGACGACAGATGCCCCCTTCTTTACGCCACAGTTTTGTTTCGTTCACTTTCCGTCCCCTTACAACGAAGCCGAGCGTAGTAACGCCGCGTAGCATCGCTTTTTTAGTTGTTGAGCTGCTTTTTTGCCGTCGAGCAGTGGCATCCCGCGGCGCAGCACGCTCCTAGGGGGCGGTGCTATCACGCCGCGCGCGCGCCCTCTGCGTGCCGCGTGGTCGGTAAAGCCCCGTGCTGCAACAGAGGCAGGCGCTGAACACAGACCCGCGGTAGACGCGCAACTTCTGAAGCAGCCGGCCAAAGAAGCCACCGACTAGAAGCCGCGGGGGCTACATAAGCCACCGAAGCTTAGTCCCGCAAGCTTGCACTGCGCTATTAGACGAGGAAAAAGAGAAAAAAAAAGTAAAAACACGCGAAACATTGATTGAAATAGGGGTTCCAAAATTATTCCTTGTAGTATGAGAGTGCGCGCATTGGCGGCGTCGTGACCCCGGCAACCTGCGGCGATGTAGGCTTTCACGAGGTCCATACTCGCCGCATCCGTCGTAGACTGCCCCCACCCCTCTTTCTTGTTTTTTGCTTCTCTTCGTTTTTTTCGCGCATACTCACTCGCTCACAGCAGCAACACACGAATACTCGCCGCCATCACATTCAAAGCGTGCGTCGGTGTACATGCGCTGATCACAGCTTGCAGCCTTCATCGGGCGAGAGCCACAAGCCAACCACCCCTGGCTGGCTCTCAACGAAGCTTCACCCCCAGTATGCACCTCCTCCCCTCCTCTTGCTCCTCACGCCTCCGCAACGGACCACAGTTTCGCGTCCACCACTGCAGGCAGTGCATTTTTTTAAGCTATTCTCGTTCCTTACTTTTACGCTGCCCTCGGAACTGTGTACGCGCATGCCAGAGTGAGAAAGAAATGAACGGAAGATAAAAATATTCCTCGCCATATTCGCCGGGCGCGAGATGCCCCCGCAGGGAAGCATATCCTGCCGCCGCCTCGCTCTTTGAAGAAGGCGGATGGCGACTTGACCCGACCCCGCCGCAGTGGTGCACGCAGAGCGCCACGAGTACATAGTTGATGGAACGTGCGTAAGCCGACGATGCCATATCGCGGGAAAAAACAAAGACACAGAAAAAAATTTTGTGGTAGGAAATATGTATCTGAGAATGCGGCTATAGCTACTTTCTATGCGCGCACCTATACAAAAATAGGTGAACGTTGATTTGGTGCGGGGTATTTATTTGCGCGCACACTTGGCAAGACGAGCGTCCTTTTTATCAAACACCCATTAATATAAGAATAGTCGCCCCCACAGGAGAAACTGTTATGGTACTGTTTTTAGATTATTATGTACGGAAGCCCAGATACTCCATATCATTTGTAAAGTCTGTTAGCCAATAGCAGAGGCTTTGCTAGTTCGCTATACAATTTTTTTACTGCCCCAAACGAAAGCTCAATGCATGAATGCGACTGTTCTGTTGTTCAGTAGAAAGTGCAGGTTCGACTCCCGTGTAACAATGGTAAATCAAAACATATGGCACAACGCTTTGAGGCTGGCATGATGGTACAACTACTTGTCCGCAAATGCCGACCCGTATCGAGTCCAGACAGATATACGACTATAAATGAAAAAATAATAATTACAAATTACTCTAGTCTTGTACCAAGCCGTGCAAGGCTTGAAGAATCGAGACTGAATGATGAAAACTTCTCTGGTTGCCTCTACGATGTTACAATGCCTTAGCTACATGGTTCATGCTCTAGGTCGCTTGTAGGTTGATGCCATAGGCATCAGCTAGGTGATGCTAGATTGTTGGTACGCTGATTCTCGGTGCACAGACGTCCGAGTGAAACCACATGCAGTCACACACATGACACAGATTTTTAAACTCCAGAGACAGAAACTCGCGCTGATACCAAGCGTTTTCACTAAGACACTATAACTAGCCTCGCAGACACTTTAAGCGTAATCTATCTATCTATCTATCTATCTATCTATCTATCTATCTATCTATCTATCTATCTATCTATCTATCTATCTATCTATCTATCTATCTATCTATCTATCTATCTATCTATCTATCTATCTATCTATCTATCTATCTATCTATCTATCTATCTATCTATCTATCTATCTATCTATCTATCTATCTGTCTATCTATCTATTTCTATCTATCTATCTATCTATCTATCTATCTATCTATCTATCTATCTATCTATCTATCTATCTATCTATCTATCTATCTATCTATCTATCTATCTATCTATCTTTCTATCTATCTATCTATCTATCTATCTATCTATCTATCTATCTATCTATCTATCTATCTATCTATCTATCTATCTATCTGAAAAATGTAAAATGTATGTGCAGTCATTAAAAAGCTTAACACGAACGCTGCACAACGCTTGATTTAAACTATAGCTTGACCGGTGCCTACTGCGGAGCACCAGAAGCTGTTGCCGAGATAATACGACGGTATGCTTGGATAGTATGTCGGCATGCGTGTCTATAGTTCCCACCTTTCACCGCCGTTAGTTATGGGCACTGCGGCCCAACCCTCGCTAAACATTGCCCAAACTAAGAAAATTACGCCCAGTGAATTCAACGTGGCAACCTTTTCTGGTCAGATAGGGCTCAAAGTGTGTCCTTCTGTTACTATTTTTAGTAAGTATCAAACTCAAGGCAAATTTTGTTGGAGATTAAGTCGCTGATGCTAATCTCTGTATTTTATTTAATCAGAAACAACTTTCTTTTTATTATGATTAACGTGCGTGGGTTTCCACGTTTATTCAAAATGGTGCGTGCGTGCCGCTCCTCCAGTCCGGTAGTGGAGGTGGCTGCCTACTACTACTACTACTACTACTACTACTACTACTACTACTGCTACTGCTACATACGTCTTGGACGTACGACCCACGTCTTAAGATGCTTCGCCCCTAATTCTTTTTATAATGGCTGCAGAATTCGGTTTAAATAGGGAAATTCACGCCTGGAAGTTGTGCACACACAATAGCGGTGGCTGTTTTTTATTCTTCTCTTTTTTTCTGTCTTAGGGCAACGTTTTCACGTATGGTGAAGCTACACTTGCATTCTATAGTGCTTCCTGTGTTGGAGCAGCTGGGTTATGCGAGGAGGCAATCAGGAGTTCCTTATGGACAGATGCCAAGAGAGGCGTGCGACCTAATCCACACGTACCTTTTGCGTCGTCCATATCAATGTCCCACATAACGACGCAGTATATATTAAGCCTTCTGAATATCTCAGAAACCTTCGATGACAGCGACATAGGATTTTCGTAACTGATCCAGTTATTTGCCAGGCCCTTGTAGGAGCAAATCTCCTTGAAGTCCATGTACGCGCTGTGGTCGCCAAGCACGCATACCTCGTAGAAGGCCATGCGACCTCTCATTCCAGTGAAGTTCCCTTCGATGCCTGGTCCGAGAACTCTTGCGGGCACCGAGTCCGTGTCTGGGGAGTTCACTATGCCAAGGCGAAACGACAGTGCGGCTAAAGACAGGCTGAAGCAAATCTTTTGCGTCGTGTACGGAGGCACGTCTTCGACGACGTCAGTGAGAGCGCTGATCAGAGACGGGCCTTCGCTATTGAATGGCGAGGCGCAATGCGTAGCGTTTTCGTACGGGCCGTGAATGTCGTGCGTTTGGACGATCAAGTAGTCGACATTAGCCACGAGGTTGTCTAGCGCGTAGCCGGGCCTCCGAGACTTGAACGGTGGAATTGTCAGCGCAATCGTGTAGTTGCGCGACAGTGTCAACCTCAGCTTGTCGACGAGCTTCGAAAGCCACGCCGCGTCATTCGGAGAACCGCAGCGTCCGGCGTCCGCTATGGTCCAATGAACGTGCACTCCGTCGTAGTCGTTTTCGGTCAGCCAGGACAACACGTTTTGCGAGAACTTGGCCCTTCGCACCGCCGACGAGGCGAGGATACTTAAGTTAGCACTGCCCCTTTCGTACTCTCCAAATGACACGAGAACTCTCAGGTGCTGATACTTGGTTTTGAGAAGGGCCAAATTCTTGAAGCCCTCCTTGACCAGATCGAAACCGGGATCAGCACTGGCCAAGTCATCTGCGGTGACCTTTGCGGAGGCGTAGACGACGTGCGTACAGAGTCTACCGTTGATGAGACCCGTGCGAAAGGCCCACTCCTTGTCCCTCTTGTAACTACTGTGGTTGAAGATGCAGAAGATCGGGCCTTCTACCAGTTGAGCAGTAGGGTAGTCTTCAATGGGATCCGTGAAAGGTGGCTTCCAGGATGACTCTGGAAGCGCTAGAGGCTTACGACACTCACTCGTCTCCCAGTACGGTACTTCAGATGTTTTCGTGGATGTGGAGGCGACGCTGCCATCGGAACGACGCAATGATGGCACTGGCTTGGTGGAGTGGGCCCACCTTTCTTTCCATTCCAAGGCGTGCTCCACCTGGTCACGATACATCTGGTAGTTGCGAGCTAGAGCGATAGCTGCCACTCCTAAGGGAAACGCCAGAACGGCCCAAGCTATGTTGGCGAAGAACCAGATGTAGTACATCTTGCGGTGATGCTGCAGGGGCGTCTTCCTATCTCTAGATCTCGCTGTTCTTCGGGTCGCTTTCGTTGTTTGCAGCAGCTTGCGAGACGAGTGTGACACGGTTGGTTTTTTGTCCAGGTTTTCGTAGCACACATCCATGATCGCGCTGGTCAGCTCTTCTTCTTTCTCGGGGCCCGAAGCGCACGAGATAATCACAGGGCTTGTGTTTAAATTTGATTTCCTTCAACCGGTAGTGTAACGTTGTAAAAAACTTTCCAGAGCCCGCTAAAATGTACTTTATGTTAAACAGTCTGATTCGTTTTCAGCCGTATAAATTTCAAGGATTCGAAACCCGCGCCGCTTGGCAGTCTCGTGAAATCGCAATCAAACAATAGAAGACCTTAGTAGCCCCATTACAAAAGCTAGGAGTACAAGTAAATCTACAAGTAATTTTATCGCTTGGTGGAACTTCATTTGGGTACTGCCACAGGGATATATGCTCCACTGTGTTTGATTACATCCACGCAACTAAAAGATTACCGTGCTAGTGACCCTAACCTTTTCAGATCTTTAGTTTAAAATTCGTAGCTATGTCTATCCAAAACAAGAGATGGTTTGACCGCTTGCTCAGCGAACATTTTTTTTGTATTATTGTTTTTAAACTACCTTTCAGATTGCCTTCATTTTCATTTTAGTTTCATTTAAGTATCCTGCCGCCCGGTTCTTGGCCCATCCCCCTCTGTGGGTGAGCGCCATCCATCAGAGGTCATCAGCATCATCAGCAAGACCTCTTTCTAGTGGCGAAAAAAACAGTTAGGGTTGTCTCTGACGAGGTTTACGAGCTTCCTCGTTACAAGATGAGTCCTCCGTGAGCCTATTATGTTTTCAAGGCTCCACATCGAAAAGCACGGCTCGAAAAGGTGAGGTTTTAGCAAAATTTTTTTCTGGTGATGTGGTTTAGCCTCCTGCCCATCTGGTTGGTACACCTTTTGTAACTGACCGATTTCAAGGTTTCAGACGTAATGGCAAACGCGCTTTGAGTGTAGTGACGCGTGAATTGCCGTACCATATGATTTATATAAATTACTGCTACCGCCAATGCTGCCACTCAGATTCAAAGGGGAAGGTGGGGGTGGAGGGTGTTTACACCCATTCCACGCTCATTCGTCGTTGATGTATACTCTCAGGAAGACGACATATCAAGCATTCCAATAAGCATCCACCGTCCCCACCCGTTCCCTAAGAATAAATAAATAGATGAAAAATTTTTCACGTCACTACGAATTTTATACCTCGTCTAATTACGACATTAATCAATGCTATTCACTATGTAAACATCGCTGTTTAAATAGTGAAATAAATAATGGCACATAAGTATCGCTTGGATGATCCCACTCTTACTGAGAAACGTAAGAAAACGTATGTCATTACGAAAACCACGGCATACTTCAGTGCAGGAAGTGTTCCCAAAGTAAATTTCCGTGTACCTTTCAAGCTTTTTTGCTCCTATAAACAGAGCAGGTCTTTTTTACAGTAGTAACACGAATCACTTTACAATTCTATATACATACATAATCACTATCTGCCTAGTTCATTCACCTTCTAAATAAATATAAAAACTCTTATATTCAGTGGTACTTCGTCTATTTATACACTTTCTATTCTTCTGACGCCGCTCGCAGCAATTCCTTTGACGCGCTCAAGGTGGAAACGCTGGCCAAATTGGACGAAGGCCTCGAATCGATCAAGTTCCTTCAGCGGCTGGGCCAAGTCCACATGAGCGAGTCGCAGTTCAGCGCCCTCCTCCAGGTCTCGAATGACTTCTTGTGGACCAAGACCACCATCGAGCGGGCTTTCCGGAAGTACCCGCGCAGCAGCGCCTCCAACGCGGACAAGAGAATGTTCCGCGAGCTGCTCATCCTGCTCTACAAGTACGTCACCAAGAGCATCATCATGCTCCTCACGCAGGTCGGCATCCGATGTCCGCAGAACGCCAACGCCGAACTGGGTCACGTGCTCGAACTGATGCTCAAGAGCGTCCAGAACACGACCCACCACGAGTCCCTGCACCCGACGCAAAGCAAGTTTGCGGTCATGAGCGTTCGCCTGCTGGCCAAATCGCCGCGGCCCAAGGACGCCAATGTAGAGTTCACGACGGTCATGAAGGCAATGAGGAAGGAGCTGGCCCAGCGCAAGAACACTATCAAGGCCAGCTCGTGGCTGTCGCTTAGTACGAAGCGGTGATGCTACTGCGTGTAGTGCGTGGCGTATATTGATGCCAAGTTCGCGACAACGTGCGTGCCAGTTGGTGGAACGAGCTGGTCCAATTTCGTAACTGTTTTCGCAATTTGAGTGCTACACTCATCATTGTTTGCCTAGCTGAACTTCGCGAGAAAGTGCTTGACTTTCTTGAATTGAGTTGTTTCCTTTGTAATTATAATTATATATTTATCCTGTTAAGTATCGGCGTACAAATGCACTTTTAGATGTGCGCACGGTCAACTGAGAAAACTGGTTAATTTTTGCCGCATCTGAGTTTATGCATTGTCATCGATAGAACACTGTGGAGTATATTCGCAGAACGCATGCCTGTTGTTATTATTTCTTCGTTGAGGTTTGCTTTTATACAAGTAGTACAGGGGTAGCCAGAAATTTTCAACCATATCTTCTGTATGTTCATGCTTGTGTTTGTATGTGAGTCTATAGGCGTATATAGGGGGGAGGGGTCCAAAGTCTGCCTCATACATTGACTTAAGAGGGATGGGGAGAGGCTCCGCGACAAACCTTCACCTCCCCCACCCCCAGCGCGTAGTTATGCGCCCAGTTATGCACATGCAGATTTTTTCTAATAGGGGGAGAGGGAGCTAAGGCATGGGGGGGGGGGGCACCAGCTAGATTTCGGGAGGGGCACCCCCTTGAAATGGCCATGTTTCGCCCTCTGTGCCTCGGCAAAAAAATTTCGGGGTGGGGGGGGGGGGGGCGGGCACGTGTTTTGGTGTGGATGGGATACCCCTGGCTACGCCCTTGTGCTGAGGGGATAAAAATTACTATTCGACTTGACCTTTCTACTCCAGCGGTGGCACATGGCAATGGTGGCAACTTCGGGGTAAGCCCCCGTGAAGCCAACACATGGTACAGGGACGCCATTTCTCTTCTATAGTCACGCGGCATCTACAGGAATATTTAGTCGGCAGGGTCTATTTATACAGCACAGCTCACGTACAATCTACAGTGAATGCTCGTCACGAAGGAGGCCATGGCACGTCTCGTACACCAACTTGTCTTGTGTTGTCTTGTCGCCTAGAAGATTTTGGCTCATGCCCACAAGGGGGATTGGCCGCACTGTACATAATAATGGAATTTTTTTAATACAACACTTGCTAAAAAAAAAGAGAGAGAAATCAGATAAGAACAATAATAATGTTCCTTTGAAAAAACGTGAAAAAGTGCCGAAGAATTCGGTAAACCAGAATATATAAAACAAATTAGCAAGAATGAAGAAGGGGGACAAAGAATTGGATATTTATTTATTTATTTGAGAATACTTCACAGACCCCTTAAACGGCATAGGTTGAGGGGGGTATACAGTGCAATTCAATACATTGTAAAGAGTACAATTACAGGGCAGTATAATAAAATAACATAGAATAAAATAACAAGTTGGAAATAGATTAATAGATAACTATACGTGCAAAAAATATATATCTGGTAGTACCACTAGCACCGTATCCTGCCAGTTGCCTGAATGAATTTATGTACGGCGCTGACAAAATAGAAATTCGGCCCACACCCAACTGACTGGCTCCAAACGATAAAGGGTGGATGTGTTAACTGGCAATCCGAGCATCGATCTCTCAAGAATTATTCGGTGCAGTGAGGCGAAGCGGCGGCACGTGAGAAGAAAGTGGTCTATTGTTTCCGGTTCGTTGCAAACTGCATATAGAGGTTAGTTAATGAAGATTCTGATTTGTGGAGATCAAAATTTAATCGAGGGACTCTACAGCGAATGCTTGTGAGGGTCACCTGACATCGACGGGAAAGGCATTTCGCGCTGTTCCATGTGAATTGCAAGGGCCGAAATTCTCCAGATTGTGGGAGCGATGTTTCGTTGGTTTTTAATATTAACAGGCGTTTGAATCGTTCGGCAGTAATAAAAGGAAACTGCGGAGCTACTAGTATTATGCACCAGAAAATTTAAAAATGCCGAAACGAGCGAATTAGCTATTTTGATTAGTGCAATTCCAGCATGCCGGGGACCCCCAAAAACCGAACTTCTAATGGGCGACGCGGTACGAGAGACCAAAATATCCTGAGAAGAAGAGACTGCTTTGCGGACGTTAGATGTGTACAAACAGACAAAGCGTCCGAAATAATAATAGCTTTTGATTGCTGAGAACTTAGTTTTCGAAGAGCCAATGTAATAGCCAGGAATGCTGCGAGATAAATTGGTGTGAAATCAGGCAATCGGAGCGCAAAAGACCAATTAAGCTGATGAAAAAAAATACCTACTCCAGCCTTCTGAAGATTTTCCGTTGCATCCGTCGAAATTACTACGTAGTTGGGAAAATGAGTGAGGTGGTCTTGAAGGAGGCCCCCCAGAACATGCTTTGGAAGTAACTTGGGATTTTTCGGGCAAATGTCATCGAAAATTAAGTCAACTGGCACCGACCATAGAGTTTGGGGAGTTAAATGCTGGAGGGAAACGTAAAAACTTGATAACAGAGACTCGACGAAAATGACTTGGGCTCTTTGATAATGACACCACGGGCGCTTAAAGAAAGAAACTGGATATTTGATGTAAAATGTCTGTGAACAGGAGAGGGGCGCATCGTAGAGTTTTAAAAATATTTGCACTGTAAGCTGTCAAAATCTAGCGTCAAGTGGAATGATATGAACTTCCAAATAAAGCACGCTATTCGCGACACACCTAGGTAGCCCGAGACACAGCCGCAGAGCTTGCCTTTCTAGCAATATAAGAGGTCTTAATTTGTACTCAGCTCTTCCGGAAAACAGAACGCAACTAAACTCCAGGATTGGGCGTACGTAAAGTTTCTATATCATAAGTAACGTATGCCTGCACATCCCTGAATTCTTATTGCAAAACCGGCGTATCAATCCTATAGCGATTTCTGCTTTGCGGGAGTTTGATTATATTTGTTGCTGCCAATTTAAATTGTCCACGTAAACAATGCCAAGATATTTTAATGCCGTTACTTGTGGAATCAGATCATTTCGATAATGCTGTGAAATAAATACGGGAACGGATAGAGGGAATACAAGCAGAGCACATTTGCCAACATTCCATTCCGGCAATTCAAAACACGCGCTATTACAAACTATTGAGTGGGTGCTGCCATCTATTGCAACGTACTAACATTGTGCGACATGGTGCATGGCCTTAAAGATTAACGCGTGGCAAGCTTTTCTGCTCACTTGCAATCTCGGAGGTACTGCGCTGTGCGGTGAAATAGTTGATGTAATTACATTGCGTATGACAACTAAATTAAAGTCAATAAAAATAGGAAAATATTTTAAGTGTAAATTGGGATATTTATTGTGTGCTAAGAGTAATAATTGTATTTTTTGGTGCAAAACACGTCGTACATATTTGAAACAAATTGTGCTATATAACTGATTTTGGCACGTATCACTGGGATAAATCTAGCAACCACAGTTTAAACAAACATGGCAGCTTCGATGCGGTGCGTTCGTCTTCTTGGAGTCTTGCTGAGATCTCAATCGCCGCTTTTAGCGTCTTGCAAACCTTGTCATGCGATGAGTATAACATGGTCAAGAAAGAGCAGTTACGCCGTACAGTTTAAGGAATTTGGAGATCCTTGCAAAGTTTTGGAGCGTGTCGAAGAAGCTGTTCCCGACACATTGGGCGCCGACGAAATCTTGGTCAAAATCCTGGCAGCCCCGATAAATCCTTCAGACATAAACACAATACAAGGAACCTACGGAATCAAGCCAAGCCTTCCCGCGAAAGCAGGACTCGAAGGTGTGGGAGAAGTGGTTGAGGTACGTAACACTACGTAGCATGCTTCACTGTGGCGCCCGAGGTGGTTTGTTTCGGGCAAGGCTCTGTTTGGCGTTGCATAAGTCAGTTGCCAGATTTAGGCGTGATTGTTGCTTTGTTTCGTATCATTCTTACAGCAGTGACGTTTAATTGGCGTGTCAATTTTGTTGCATGTGCAGACAGTAGCAGGTTTTAGTGCCACTAGGTATCCGCAGGGCAACCTCAAAATTCTTATGGCGGCGCGAGTTTCAAATCGTTCTGGCCCGTGCCCGCACTACGGTTTCTCCGACATTCTAATTAATGTTGTGAAATGAAACACATAGGCTTACGAAATGTGTTTGTTTGACCCACTGTGTTATATTTACTGCCATCGGCATAGCCTGATAGTGGACGCCAAGAACTCCTTCATGGCGCCTTGGTTGTTTGGCGGCAGCTGTGCAACACCTGCCTTTATTCGACAGCCATCCTGTGTGAAGCTAGACAGACAAGCGGCGTATCGCACACGTCGGGAGCAATATTCCCCGCTTGAACACTCATTACCGGTGTCTGCTTCACCAAGCTTCATCAATGATGGCGAGGTGGATGTGGGTGATCTGGAAAAGACAGCTGCAGCTGTTGTAGGTTTTGTGGCAGCACACCTGCGGTGACAGGAAATTGCAGACAGGCAGGAAAGAGGCTGGGTTATTCATAGATATGCAATCCACAAGCGTCGCACTATAATACACTCAGCACGCTCAAGCAAAAAGAACGCCTGAATGCTACATTTACAGCTTAAAAAATCACAATTTATACCAGGATTTCTTTGAATACCATGAATAAAAAAGGGGAGGGGGGAGGAATAGCCAGATTTGAAAGAATTGTATACAATGCTTGTCAGGGCATGTGCAACACAGGAGAAAAAGGGCATTGTGAAATAGGGTTATAGGTGGCACTTTTATTAAAGTCATTCATTGATACCTTACGAGTTTTCCTTTCTTTTTCTCCACTAAATTTTCCACTTGGCCAGCAGGGCAACTGTTTTCAAGATATAATTGTAGGAGCAAGCTCTCTGGAGGTTTCTGTGGCTATTATTTCTCATTTGCTCAACATATACAGGGTCTGTCCCAAAAATTCCTGGAATTTTTATTTATGAATAACTTATTTGATATAAGTTTACAAGTATTTAACGACTTTTCAAAGCAATGTGGCCCTGATTTAATGCATTGTTTTTAATGCTTCAGCCAAATATTGAAGATGCCCTGTAACCCATCAAGGACCTCCTTTAGTGAAGTCTTTGAAGATGCTTTTACTGTCTCTAGCATTTCATGTCGACTTATATTCAGGTTTTCTTTGATCATTGGGGAAAAAAAAAAAAAGGTGAGGATTGATGCTGTACAGTGGCTGGAGCTGCGCTGCCACACCCATTCTGGCATGCAACTTAGAAAGAGAATCAGTGCAGGTGTGACTCCTCCTGCACTTCACTCAAGACTTTTGGCACCATTTCCATGCAGACTTTCTTTATTAGAATATTCTCCATCAAACTGGGACAAAGGATTGCTTTGGGTATTCCACACTTCTCCGCGATCATCCAAATACTTAATCGCCGAGGCTTATCAGATACTTCACGCAATTTCTGCATCGAGCCGTTCATTTGTAAATGTGACAGACGTCCAGAGTGGTCGTCGTCATTGACAGATTTCTGACTTTCCCGGAACCTCTTGTGCTGCATCAAAGTATGGCTTTGTTTTATCGTGTCATCTCTGTAGGCTTTCTGAAACATTTTGATCATCTCTGCCCTATTTTCATTTCTGTTTCAGACAAAACTTGATTGCATGACACTGCTCCAAAAACCTGTTAATATTTTCTCTCAACGAAGGTGCAGGTGATACCTTTGCAATGGCTTGACCCACCTCAACGACTACTCACGGTCATCAGGAACTAGACTCGTTTTGAAGCTTATATCCCACACTTGTGCACCTGAAGTGCCACCCTGTCAAGCGGTGCTGCCAACTAACAAAAAAAAATTCTGGAAACTTTTGGGACATACCCTACATGCACGCACACATGCACGTGCACACACACACATATACACACACATATCGATTGTTATAAATTGGATACAAGCTTTGGTAGAGTGGCCTGTAGTATTAATGAATTATCGCGTGGCATGTTGACTACTTTGTGTCCTTACACTTCTAATGAATAAAGAAACTATGCTGCCATATAAGCCGATAGACACTATAAGTGTTCTAAAATCTTGTTGAATGAAAAGGGATTGAACTCAAATTTTGGTGATGAGCGAGAAATTATTTCATAGGAGAAGTTGTGGCAGCAAATTGGCCATACTGTTGAACAGATTGTCCTCAGGAGCCTTTGAAGAATTCGGAGACCCAATCCGACTAGCGCAAGTCATATCCTCAAAAAACAACATGGTGGTGTAAGATGTCCTTTCCATAAAAATTAATCCACCTTCTCAGTTTCCGTAGAACTTTCGGTGTTTGTGCACTTTCAGTTGTTGATTAATGTATCCCCCCATAACGGTCTTTTAGCCTTCTTTGTCATAGAAGCTACTGTTTGTGAGGAACAAATATAGTAATTGTAATTTGATGATAAGTTATAAATAATGCAACATTTCATTTTGTAGTGCTTGCAGATTTGCCATGCACAAGGAATTAGGTAGGAACTATGCACTATCTGAGACGGTTGATCCTTTTATGTGCATTTAAATCTGGAAAAAGCATTTTTCAACCATTCTTGCCACAGTTTTGTCACCCAAAAGGAGCCTTTGTAAGGAGATGGTTCTTCATTTCGTCTCAAATATAAAAGAAACCGAGGCTATTTAGTTCGCACAGGGTTAAAATGCACATCATGGTATTGTGTGTCTTATGTTGTAACAATTTGGCAATTTAGTAGCAATGCAATAATAGTGATATGAAAAAAAAAAAGACTGGATATTGGTGTGCATTTCTATATATTAAATCTGCGAATTGATTTCCTCCACTGAGATTCATGCTTATGTTAGTTTCCAGGAGCGAAAAATGTTGATGGAGGAGTGACAATTACCACATCTTATTTCTAGGCTGGGCCACATGTCAAAAACTTGGAAGTAGGAAATTGGGTGCTGCTTCCTGGCGATTCTTGGGGGACATGGAGGAATTTCGGAAAAGGGGACCAGAAAAGGTTTCGAAAGGTGAGTATCCTTCAAGCCATTGCATGAATGGATGTATGGTCGAAACTGTAGGCAACTTGTTTGGCTAACTGAGGTTATAAATTTTGTGAATATGTTCTGACCATGACTGCACAAACATACTGCTTGCTTGCTGGCTAGGCAGGCTGTTTTCATGAGCTTATTGCTTCTGTCTGAGTCAAGGTGGGGGAAAATGATAATGAGTCGACTGGCTTTGTGCAATGCCAGAGATTGGCTTGAAAGCGATGTACATGTTTGTATAGTGCAAGCAAAAAAAGGCAGATACACATTAAAAACAGGCCTATTCTTTCTGTATGCGTTTTGCAGGCTGCTTGGCATGTACTGTAAAACCTAAATTTATGGGATCATTTGCTTTATTGAACCAATGCTCCATCTCTTTGCGAAACTAAAAATACCTACTCTGTTATGCATATATTAAATGGCTGTTCACCTTGATACAAATGCATGCGCATGGGGGGTTGTGGTGAAAATTGCACCCCTACACATTGACATGTAGGGAACAGGGGCAGCACAATGATGACCCCCCCCGCCCTCCACCCAAAAATGGAGGAGCCTGGTCCATGCCTATGCCTCAACATTCAGTAAACCAGACGCTTCACTGCAGTGCAACCATGACGTCAGCTTGTCCTTATCATATGGTTATTTACTTCGTCAGAAATTTTCATGCTGAAGAAGAGCACTGTCATGGCAGATTCTGTGAAACAAAGCTTTGAATCTGATCGAAAGTGCAAACCATGGTGGAAAAACAAGTGGTGTGCGTGTCTCAAAACATGAATGGCTCATGCACCAGGAAAGTTATTTGCGCTCGTGAATGGCATATTGCTTTACGAGGCTTCAGCGCAACACAGCTGTATAGTGCAGGGAAGACCACCAATCATCGAAAAAAATCAATTGTTGTGCAGTGAAACTTACTGCCTGCAGCCATTCATTACCGTAACGAGTATTGCCACAATGCTTCAAGAAACCGAAAAGCTTCATTCCAGCACCGACATTCTGAAAAAAAAAAAATGTGAGTGAAAAATAATCAGTAAAATAATAAGCAAGAGGAAAAAAAAATCGGAAGTGCTTTTTTTCCACAATATTAAGGTACTGTCTGAAATAGGCAGAGTTTGCAGACTAATTCATAGACTTTTTTTGGGCGGTTATAATTCATTGAACTATTTAATGATGCCCTTCGAATGAGGTATATCCAGGTTAGACTGTACTGACAAAGGGAATCAAAACCTCAAACCAAAGCTTTAATGCACGAGTTGATTGCAATGCACTACAGCTATGCAGGTGTCGCAGCTCGCATTTGACGGGTCAAAGCGTTCGCTATCCAGCCAGTGAACGGTCAAACACTTGTGAACATTTAAACAAAAGTAACTTTAATTAACAGGAATTGGGGCCACATTTTAACAAACATTTACAAGCACTCAGTAAGTCCCCGTAAAAAAAGCGGTGCTGTTGCTCGGGCTGGTAGGGTGAGTCTGCCCGCCGCCTGGCATTTGTTCTTCCGTCGATGACCGGTGCTTTCACTCTCTCCATGAGCCGACAGAGAAGATAATGACGCTCTGAAGGTCGTTTGCGGTGCCCGTTTAAAGTGGCCATAACAAAGGAAAAAGTATTTTCAAAACGTAGAAGTAGCCCCTATTAGGGGCTTAAGCATCCCCCCGACTTCCTTTGGCGGCACTTGAAAGGCAAACACGACTCCTGGCCGCTCTCTTCGAGAGGGGACGGCACACTCCCCGTCTGGTGTCTGCTTGTTAGACGCCACAGTTTGTTGATGGTGAAAACAAGGGCACCACTTCCGATATCGGTCGGCAGAGTTTCTTTATTGCGCCATTCCTTGCAATCTTCACCTCCACCTTGCGCACCATTCCGTTCGCACTGGGCAGACTTTGGGTGACAACGCCGATGGGCCAATCGTTGCGATTTGCTTCTTTGTCCCTGATGAGCACGACGTCGCCTTCTTTTATATCCTTTCATGAAGTGCACGAAGCGCTCCTTTGTCTCAGGGTTTTTTCGCAACGTGCGTCGCAGCGAGTACAGGCGAGAGAGAGCCTGTTCTCGGTTATTCGGAAGTTGTCTTCTTGGTGAGGGAAAAGGTAGAGGGGCAATCCAGTTGTTGGACCTGTCTTTGTATAATTCCCTATCCATGATATTGAGGAAGGCTCTATCTTCTATAGACAGAGAACGCTCGTTTTCTTCTCGCGTTGTCTCGAACAGGTTAGGTGCCAAGGTGTCATCTGATGCTGTTATTGATGAGAAATCATTCTTGACCTGATGCCTATCCGCAGTGTAGAGAACCGGCGCTTCTATCACCATGAAATGTTTTGTACATGGGGTGAAAAGGGATGGTCTTCCCTTGCCCAGAATGGGTGTTTTTAACACATTTATGGTGCCTGTTTTACGCGTACGACCCAGGCAGACGTTTCCGACAATGACCCATCCGAGATCGAGCCTCTGTGCATAAGGAGCGTCAAGTGGCCCGTTAATGGTCTGGCGAACTTTGTGGACTCTGAGAACTTCTCGACCGAGGAGGAGCAATATTCTTGCCTCTTCGAGAGGTGGAATGTGAGCGGCAATGGCCTTCAAGTGCGGGTAGTTCCGTGCTGCGTCTGGCATTGGAATTTCTTCCCTGTTGTCCGGAATCTCATCGCACTCAAGAAGAGGCGGAAGGGAGAGCTTGACATTGCCCGATACGTTTCTTCTTCTCACTGTGTGATCGAAGGGGAGACATATGGTGGTTGCAGGATGAAGCTGGGATCGTTCCTCATGCTTGCCTGGTCTTGAACGAACTTTGAAAAAACCGCAAAGGGTGGGAACGCAGTGTTGTTCTGTTTTTTGTATTTAGTCCCCACTGACATTCAATTTTCTTGAAGTCCAGATGGTAACTTGGAAACAATTTTGTTTATTCCTCTTGTGCTATCCAAATAGTTAAGACCGGCAAGGTAGGGATCAGATTTGGCAGCTTCGAGTTCCAGTAGGAGGTCTCCGAGCTCTTGCAATTTGGCATTATCTCGGTTCGATATTCTTGGGAATTCCTCCAACCTCCTCAGCAGCGCATCCTCAATTGCCTCAGGACGTCTGAAGGTGTCGTCGAGCCGTTTCCACACGATGTTTAAGCCCTTCGAGAAGTCATCCACATAAACAGATTTCAACCTTCGAACTTGATGCGATGACTCAGCACCAAGCCATTTGAATAGAAGGTCGAGCTCTTCCTGCGCAGGAAGGTCTACATCTCTGATGACGCCTTTGAAAGATGACTTCCAAGCTCGAAAGTTCTCAGGTCGATCATCAAACTTCGTAAGTCCTGTAGAGACAAGGTCCTTGCGGCACAGGAATTTAAAGACGCCGGCAAGCTCTGAGCTGGAACTGTTGGGTGCTGGCGTGTACGCAGGCGGCTGATGATAGTCACGCAAGTCTGTGAGGTGGTTGGTTACTTCGGCATGCTCCAAGCTCTGGCTTCTCGGATGAACAACAGGTGCCCGAAGAGACATAAGCTCGGCATCATGTATGGCGGCTTGCTCAGTGATATAGCTCGAAACCCATAGTGTCCGGTATAAAGGTGGGTGGGTGCGCACACACTCCCCGCCATCCTGTTCCACAGCTGCCTCGAGTGCACTTGCCTGTACGTCTGCAGCAGCTGCCTCTTTTTCATGTTGCAATACCTCAAGCTCGGCCTCGATTCTTGCCTTCTCTAAGCGCATTGCGGCATGTCCAAACTGAGCTCTTGCTTTGACGGCCTCTGCTTGCGCGCGGGCCTGCACAGCAGCCAGGCTAATCGTGGAGGAGCCCGATCGTCGTGATCGCGAGGAAGCTCTTGAGTGTACCGATAGAGAGAACTGCGATGCTGTTTCATGTGTCCTTGTCGCGTTCTTGCGGCGTAGCCTCTCGTAACTTTTCGCTCACGATCGCCTCACAGTCCTCATCGATTGCCTGTTGTAGCTGTAATTCGTGCCTGGCTTCAGACGTCTTCGCCTTCTCGAGAAAGACTGAGTATCTTGCGGTAGCATGTCCGTAGCAGTCGTAGTTTGCACGAAGCTGCGTTTTGGCGCCGGTAAACTGTTCTCTCTTAGCGCGTGACAGTGCCTGAAGAGCGCTCTCCACGTTTTTCCAAACAGAATCTAGTTTACGGCAGTGCTCTTCGCGGCTCGTTTGATACATTTCTTTAGCCCTCGTCGACGGGGTTGTTTTTCTTTGCGGCCAAACGTTTGATGCGGAAGCTTCATCTTGTGGTGTGACATTTGGACACTCATGCGGCAGCTCGTCCTGGTCCATCCTTGCTTGCACGTTTTGTCTCGGAGCGGACGTATGTGAAACAAATGGTGCTAAGCTTGCGCGTTGAGCGTTGAGAGATGAAATGAGCCCACCTTGTTGCTGCCCTTCTGCTGTCAGCTGCTCAACTCCTTGGCGATGAAATCCTTGCAATGGGCGTGTCTTTGGGTTCAACCGGGGGTCTTGCCGTGGCGACGTATCCCATTGCCGGCGGACGTTGAGTTTGTGGCCGATGGCAGTTGAAGCGCTTTTTTTACTATGCTGGTCTCGCAGCTCGCATTTGACGGGTCAAAGCGTCCGCTATCCAGCCAGTTAACGGTCGAACACTTGTGAACATTTAAACAACAGTAACTTTAATTAACAGGAATTGGGGTCACATTTTAACAAACATTCACAAGCACTCGGTAAGTCCCCATAAAAGAAGCGGTGCTGTTGCTCGGGCTGGTAGGGTGAGTCTGCCCGCTGCCTGGCATTTCTTCTTCCGTCGACGACCGGTGCTTTCACTATCTCCGTGAGCGGACAGAGAAAATGACAAATGACGCTCTGAAGGTCGTTTGCGGCGCCCGTTTAAAGGGGCCATAACAAAGGAAAAAGGATTTTCAAAACGTAGAAGTAGCCCCTATTAAAGGCTTAAGCGTCCCCCCTGACTTCCTTTGGCGGCACTTGAAAGGCAAACAAAGCTCCTGGCCGCTCTCTTCGAGAGGGGACGGACAACAACTGTGGTCTGTGGTGTAATCAGGGGAGTTGGAGGGGGGGAAGGGGGTTCAAAGCCGCCTCTGAAGTTTTTCAATTTTGCATGTGTATTGAAATGGGCTCATACATATGCAGTCACGAACATACATGAAGTATGGTTGAACCCTCCTTCTGGAAATAAAATTCTAGCTATGTTATTACCTTTACTAATTATCCTACACCAAATTAATGTTTATTAGTTATATGGTGTTAGCTGTCACTGCAAGCCCATCACAAGCCTAAAGAATCTATAAATTTTTTTAACAACATAAAGACGAGTACATATTATTATTGGTTAGGCATTTTCTGGAATATTTCTTGTCTCTTGAAAAGCACCACTTTAGATGCTCTGTTATTAATTAACACACTTATGACATCCTGATAACTTGAGGCCTTGTGTGAGGGGGTCGCATGTTTTGTGTTACGCTGCTTCGTATTTTGCTTGCGAAATACGCTTGACTATATTGGGGGCAGGGCAGAAACAGTAATTGGAGTAGATCTAAAGTATCATGAACTCTTTCGCAGTCCGATGACAGTCAGAAAAAAATGAAAAGCTAAAAAGTAGGACTTGTATGTATCCATACTAGCCGTTTTCATTAAACTAAATGTGAGATTGAAAAAAATGAAAAGCTAAAAAGTAGGACTTGTATGTATCCATACTAGCCGTTTTCATTAAACTAAATGTGAGATTGTATTGGCTACATCTAGCTAAATATTACTTAGTTTTGTTGTGTGAAGAAGCATCCTATTCACACCAATGCAGAATACAGTTCGACAATGCATGTCTTACGAACTTTGGTAAAGATTATTGAGCCCCTTTTGTACCATCGCCATAAAAGTATGGAAAAAATAAAACAGTGGTTACTTAATGGGAAACCTGAAAGGGTGCATGACTTTTTCATGGTTATGTGCTACATGGACGCAGCTAATACCTGGGTAATTTATTGGGGCTAGGAATACTTTTAAAAAACTTGAAAAGGCATGCAGCTTTCACATTGCTTGAAATACATATGATGAAGAATGGGTTTCAACTCTTCAGTGCCAGAACTTTCATTCATTCATTCATTCAGAATTTATTCAAGACAATTTACAATTGTCTTAGGAGATGCATCAAAAGGCCCAAAAAATGCCTGACTAGGCTGCATCACCCAGACAGCAGTAGCGAAAATGCATGATGTAATTCACAACTTAACATAACTGCAATAGCACTTGTATGGTTTAACAGAACAAATTAAAAAAAGAAAATCTGCTCTTGTAAAAAAATTTACTTAAGCTTACAAAATTTACTTAAATAATAGCCAGATGAAATCGCAGAACATTGAAGAAAGGAACAATGTAGTACACAATGGATGCTATTTTTCTGCCATGCAGAAACTTGTGTGAAACTTCATGAAAAAAAAAGTTTTATGAAAGTGTGCAGTGGCCCATACAGTATTCACTTGTACATTTATTTTTATTGCTTTTCAGTGATTGATTTTTTCTGAGAATCGAGGCCAACTAATCTAGCTATTTTGCAGGATTCAATATTTTCATGATTGTTGTCCAGCTTAATTTTTTATTGGTTTATACTTTTACGTAGTATTGCTTTAGTAATGATGACTTACTATAATTTGTTTTATGGCTTCACTGTATGTTGCAGGTTTCCAACAAGCTCGACATAGTAACAGCAGCTACCATGACGGTCAATACACCAACGGCCTACCGCATGCTCTCCGACTTCGTGACAATGATGCCGGGCGACACGTTCATTCAGAATGGGGCCAACAGTGGTGTCGGACAGGCAGCCATTCAGATTGGCAAGAGTATGGGCCTCAACTCCATCAACATCGTTCGTGACCGTCCCAATCTAAAAGAGCTGAAGGATAACCTGAAGTCCCTAGGAGCTGACTATGTGGTTACTGAAGAGGAGCTGAGGTGAGGCACTGTTCCTATAACTTTATTTTTTTCTTAGCTTTGCAATGACAGTGCTGCTCATCATTACTAACTCTGCTGGTATAGCAGCACTTTGTGAGTTGTAGAAAGCAGTATTCATGACTACATTTCTTATGGATATGTTACTGATCATTAAACAAAGCTGATTAAGTTTTGTAGTACTTTCGGCAATGAAATAACTTGAACAAGAACCCAAGAGTCTTTATTGTGAGTTAAAGGAGGCTTCAATTTGGGCTTGTTGGTATTGTGTCATTTTTTTGCTCTGATGAACTGTTAGATCACGACATAAAGAAGAAAAAAAAGGAATGCATAGACCAGACACATGTGAGCAAGGCAATGCTAGTGATGTCAGTGTCAGTCAAACCAATGTTAAGATTCTGCCTATTGAACAGACTCGCGTTATGAATGAATGAAAGACGGAAATGAATCAAGGGCCCCACAGGTGGCTATGTTTCTGCCATATGTTTATGTTTATTTTTATAATAAGTATGTTGATGACCTGCACAGGCATGGCTGGTTTAAAGCACTTTTTTTCGTGAGGCATCCCCGTGTGGTCACCGTTTGTAGAAGGGTAACCGTGAAACCAAAACATATGATTCGGAGCTGGCATCCAGATTTTTACTAATTGTGGAGATCGTTATGGATATGTTGTTAGATGGAATCGTGGTTCCAAATCTTCAGAAATGACCCATACTCAAGATATCAGAAAGGTTTTCTTTTCATTGGTAGAATTTGCTGAGAATGTGTAGGAGCTAACCCTTCCTCCCTGCGTTTACCTGCTTACCTGGCCTGGCCTTTGCTCGACTAATTTCTGCGACTGCCGCCCGCTGCATGAGACGAGCTTTAAAGCCCTGCTATAAGGAAGAAAGAAAGACCGAAGTAAATAGACAAAAAAAGCAAGCAAGAAAAAAAAACAAAAGAAATATTTTGTGGAAGGCATTTAGTTGAGAAGGCAGAAGTAAAATGTGTATGGCCTCATTTGTATTGATTCCGACCATGCCCACGAGTGCGATGCCGCCAGCTTCGCTGTTTTAACCAGTCGTCGCAGCATTGTAAGTGAGGCTGCTTCAAGTTTTTGCGCATGGTGCAATCACATTTAAAGAACAGACAATTGAAGTTGGAGGATGCTTTGAATTGATTGATTTTCATATACAGTTAACGTGTTGAAATAATTAGGCTAATTGAAATGGAAGCCAATGATCATAAGACTTGTCTGTGGTGGGTCTGTGTCTTTAACAGTATGCTGTGCTTTACCCATGAGGCGGCATCGCAACCGTCATCCTCGATAGCGTCTTGCGCATTTACGTGTCCGTGTAATACTAGGCATGGCTCCCAAACATCGACCTCTTGTCTGATGCTGTGGAGCTGTGGTTGTGGTTCTCCTCTGCTGATCCGAAGGTCGCGGGTTCGATTCTGGCCACGGCGGTTGCGTTTCGATTGAGGTGAAATGCCAGAGGTTTGTGTGTGTACTGTGTGTTGTCAGTGGACGTTAAGGAACACCAGATGGTTGAAATTTCCGAAGCCTTCTATACGGCCTCATAATGATGTCGCAATTTCGGCACGTAAAATTCTGGATATTATTATCAGGTGTCAAGCTTTTATTAAGCTGTTTTTAAGTTCGTAAGGCTCTTGCCTGATCACTGTAGACAAGACAGTTTTGTTTATCGGGACTAGATTTTGGGTCGACGGTGTTCACGTTAGGATGGCATGCTTGGTAGGGAACCATGGTTGTGGCACACTAATGCCATTGTCGTCTGGTGTCACAATAACAAAACATCAATCACATCAGCATTACTTTTGTGTTTCACTTGCGGTTATGACAAGGTGCATCGATTATTACCTCGGTCCCATTTTTGGCCTTTTCATGTGTGCGTACTATATCTAACCCTGGGGAGTGTTAACCAAGACCACTCATAGGCCATAGTGGCAGTACATGGAACATCATTTTTGACCGACAGCATCACACGCTCAGTGAACTCTGGGAGCAGGCACCTGCTAGTAAATGCTGCTTGTGCACTATTTTTTAAAACATCGCACCTGCCAGTCCCCTCTCACCCTGAAATGAACGAGAACAAAAAGAACTGAGGGGCCCGAATTTATTGGTCCCAACTATGTGAAAACCAAATAAAGTAGACAAAAAAATTGAAAGTAAAATCAATTCGGGCTGTATTTTATATGAGAGAACATTACTCCACTGACTCTGAATGAAAACTGCGTTGCAGCTATGATGGCAGATTGATTACATCAACAGACATTTGCCAGCACTTAATGTAATTTAGCTAGGGCATGGCAACACTAGCCAACATTAGCCATTATCAGTCTGGTGCTGGCAGTGAAAGAGCAGGAGTAAAATGTGTATGGCCTCGTATGTCTGGAGTGTTCAACACAACATGCCTGGACACCCAACGCTCACCCTTCACTAATCCTCGATGGTGCCCCATTATAAGCTTGTACGTATAAAAAATGCTTCATTATCACAGGGAGCCAAGCCTGCAGCCTCCACTGTGCACGTTGGTTGTGTGATGAAATGTGTTTTTATGATCATTTGTTTATATTTTCGGCCACATTATGGCATTTTTGCAGTCTCTTTTGCTTCTTTAATGTGTTACAAGACTCTATGTTTGCAGATTTTGTCATTATTGCTGCATTTCTTTCCTCTGTTTCCCATCGCTCCTTGCCTTTGTGTTATAAAGGACTCCGGTGATGAAGGACATTTTTGCTGTTGTGCCACCTCCGAAGCTTGCTCTGAACTGTATCGGGGGCAAAAACGCCACTGACATGATGCGACACCTCATGAAAGGTGCCACCATGGTCACCTATGGCGGGATGTCACGGCAGCCTGTCATAGTGTCAACGGCTTCTCTCATCTTCCAAGACATTAAAGTGGTTGGCTTTTGGAGAACACTGTGGGCCAAGGAGCATGGTAACACCAAGCTCGATGATGAAATGTATGATTACCTGACCAAGATTTCAATGGAAGGAAAGCTGCAGCCTCCTGCGCATAACTTGGTTCCGTTCGAAAATTATGAGGACGCTGTTAGAATGTCCATGGAGTCATTTGCGGGAGCGAAGCAGGTTCTCGTTATGGATGAAAGGTTTGCGTAAGGCTTGAGTGAAATATGAAGTGAGAAAGAGCATTCGTTGCAGACTAGGCCAGGTATGATCGTGTCCGTTAGCTGTGGTCAAGGCTTATCGTACTATTTTGCTTCTCAATGCCTGCTTTTTTTGTGTGGGAGAACGGTAGTTGGCTGTGTACCAAATGCAATGTTTATTTGTGAATTTCATCTTCAGAGCTGAGAATGCACCAATGTTTTGTACTTGGAAAGCCTGAGTGATAAACTTCATACACGGTTGAGTTGCTCAGAAACTAAAACCTTGTGCATGGACTCACTGTTACATATTGTGTAGATACGTCTCATGCTACAGTGTCTCACAGTCAGTGATATTGTGTTAATTTCATGACACTAGTCTTACAGATGAGAAGTATGCTTGGTTTCTTGAACTATGCAGATCTCTTTGTTTTTAATAATAAAATTGAATTTTGAATGAGTAATGATTCCTACTTAATTTGTGTCATATTCATGGTGAAATCGCCTTTCACAAATTCGTAAAAAAATTTTGTTACCAGTATCTGAAAATAAAAGAATTATGTTTTTTACAGCTGTAGTTATATACTTGTTCTAGTACGACTTAAGTTGTAATGTTCAGTAGCGATGAAATGAATATGCGACTATTACTACATAAACTTGTAATAAAGTTTGTTTATTTGCTGCAAAAATATATCCAGCCGTGGAAGGCCGGCACCCTGAATATTGCCTTGGGTTGTCTTAATTTTTCAGAAGCAAAAACAAGTGTATTTAGAGCAGTATTGTAATAAAAATTTTACCTGTTGTTTTCACTCTCCAAAGATTGCAAAGGACATCACGCAGAAACAGCAATCATCTTTGCAAAGCTGTTCATACAGAAGATTCATACATAAGGATACATGCGGTTCAGCAAAGATAATCATTCAGATTGTAGCAAGAGAACTTCACATTGACAAGGAAACCTTTTGAGTGAATAGCTTTGCGAATCTGGCCAGTCACTCATGGGCATTGAACAAACTCTAGGCACATCTGGTCCACTCGGTTCATTGTGTGTACACATATCACAATCTTTGCACTGCACTTCAAACATTGTCTGTAGTGTATATCGTCACACTCGGAAGGTTATTCGAAGGATCACTTCTTGAAGAATGTCCAGGTGCTTGGCGCTGAAGTGAGGAATCATCCTGTACTTCACAACACTGGTTCAAGTGCACTCTATTAGCATGATTCTGTAAAATGCATAACAAAAAAAGGCAGATGAGCAATATATGTTCCATTGTAATGTCTTCACACACTTGGGTCTTGAAAGTTATGGTAACACCTTGTTTACTGAATAGGACAAATACCTACAGGGCCTACATATTGGCTACATTATGGGCCCATCGCCAACAGTCTCTTCTATGCAGTTTCTACTGAGTAAAGTTATTTGAATTCTAATTGTAGTGTAAAGGTCATGTTTAAAGGAACTTCGTGTGAAGCCAGGCTAGAAGTAGCACTTGGCATCTGTTTTCTTTAGTAAATTCAGAAACTGACTAATGGTAGGCACTGCAGGACTCAGTTAGTTAATGTTCCTGTCCAAAACTGATTTTTAATATCATGCTTGTGTAAGAATTTATTGCTTTTTATTCCTTCTCATTGCATTGAGTTAGCTACACGCACATTGCACATTCCAGTACCATATTAAGAATGTGGTAAAGTCATGTTCACATCATTGCCTTTCCATAATGTGGTAACATCGACTGGTAAAAATGTATGGGCACATAGCTGCAGTTGCCCAATTCAGTTCTTTTCACAAAATGTTCTGGACCGGTGGCATTGTCCACTTGCTCTGATAGCACAGACTGAATGCCTACATATTGTATGCCATAGTCCACTTTCGTACAGAGTGGTGTCACATCTCCATTCTTAAAATACCTTGTTTATTTGCTAGCGATGTCTTCCTTTCGAACAAGCATTATGGCAAGATCAACATGTTTGAATATACTCCCCTTAGTTTTATCATTTCATGTGTATTTTCTTCTTGATATTTACTTACACAGGGAAGAAATCTCAGTTCTGGAGCATGAATTTGGTGAAGTTTGACGTCTCTTCGTAGCACAGGGATCCTTTTACCGAGCCCTAGCCAGTCTACTGACATCTTACACTTGATATCCTTGATGTCTCGTGCAGACCAAAGCCTGTCAGAAAGATGTGTCGTTCAGGTTTTTTTCCTGGACAACTCGACACACTCACAGTCTCCTTGTTTGGAGAATCAATCGGCGCCACTTTCTTGTTAAGCTTCAGTCTTACACAAGGTATTCATCTTGAGCATTATTCCTTCACTGTCTCTCAAGATCAAAATCTGGTGGCCTCTGGCTTCTCATCAGACTTGTGTATGCTCTCAACTGAGAATGCCTCGTTGATCGCGGCTTTGCTCTCATACTGGTCTTGACCGTCACTGCTGCTGCTGTCATCGGCGAGGTCATCCTCGTAGAAGCGTTTGATGCGTCCGCTTAGCAGGAACTGAAGATGTAGCAGACTCCGGCGATGGCCAGAAAGACGATAGTTACGAAGATGCAGGGTGTATCGTAGCTTGTCTGGATCGTACACCCAGCAGTTTCCACGTCGGCCACATTTCTCTTCCCAGATCATGCACGAGTGGTCCAGGATGGCTCCGTATATAGGGGATAGGGTATGAAAGCTGCCAAGACAAGGAAAGAGAGGAAAGGGACTTAGCACGGAATATTTTAAACATTAAGATCAGCAACTGGCAGGAATGTCTTGAGATTTCATCTTATGAGTGAATTTAAAGAAAAGCAAATAAATGTTTGCTTAGTTATCGTCACCTTTGATATAGTGGATCGGTTTGACTTGGTCAACGTGCATGGAGTAGAATTGCACTGCTTCTATGGGGTCTTTGAAACATTTTATGCGTTTTTGAAATTTTTCGCTTAACTAATAGACTCTGTCGTGGTGGCGTCTAGTGTGTATAGCTTTCTGCATCCTTCAGTTTTTATTATATTTTTGTATATGTCAAGCTCCCAGCATCTAAGCATTGATTTTTGCTTTTCTGGGGTTTCTGTACAATTGCGTGAAATTGACCGCTTACCATAATAATGCACACAATTGTAGAATTATTCAAAATACCAACCTTATAGATGTACTGTTAGCAAGTTTTAAGTTTCACACTAATGCCTGAATAAAAAGTAACAGGTAGTGCCTTAGGTTTTACACAACGCTGACTACTGATAAGACCTTCAATCAAGTCGGGCATAAATGCACAGTTTCTGCTGCCATATGATATGGAAAAACATGTACTGTTCTTACCAAGCATGTGCAAGATAGAACCAGTAGTCCCCATCGCCATGCTCTTGTCGATAGGGTCGACACATCTGCAATGTTGAACGGAGGAAGATTACGTAATTATAGGCCCTGAAGCAGTAAATTCTTCCGAAATGCGGAGTTCTGCATATTGTAAACAATACAGGAGGCATTGTGTGGCTAAAAGGACCCCTGACAGCGAAAGTTTTGTTTGCGACTTTTTTACTGCAATTTGTTTTTTTGCATTTGGTAATGCCTGAAGTTAAAATGGAAATACTCTAACAGATTGTATGATTCTAGCATCGTTAAATAGAGCGATCTTGCATCACTTCGAAACACCCGCTTAAATACCATAACAAAATAGCGACCCACAGCGGAGAAGTGGTTGAGACTACGTGTGCTCAAGCTTCGTTGACGCTGAATGCACCATTTCTCAAACACTGTTTTTACGCACAGGCGGTGAAGAATGAAACGATGTGGATGTTTTGAGCGTGTTCCTATCAGAAAAGAAAGAAAATCATTCCTGGCGTACGCAGCCAAAACAACCTTTAGAGCAGCTCGACAACTGAATCGAGAGGGGTGACGAACAATAAACCTCGCTGGCTGCCAGTCGGGGTATTGTGTGTACCTCGGAAATGCTTTTCTGACATCCGAGACAATACTTGCTTGACCTCTGCAAGGTCCCGAGAGGCCCCCTGTCTACATCAAACCACAGAAAATGTTGATTGCAACGGAATTTTCGTGTGTGCACCAACTCTTTTTTGAAAACCAATTGAAATACTTTATAAGCAACGCTCGTCACTAATAATCCGTCAGGAGTGCCAACGCACGCACGACTCTCAAAGTAACACCAGCATCTCGTGTTTACAAAATTGGTGTCTGGTGTCCTGTAAAATAATAATAGATGTGAGTAAACCTAGCACTCTACAGTGAAAGAATGGCAAGTACTTCTAAGTACTGGCACTATGCTTTGTCATTCTAATATCACCACAAAAAACAACAAATCATGCTGCTTTAATGGTGCCAATGTATATAGTATGTGATTCCTCTTTTGTTACCATATTTAGAAAAATGTTTTAACTTCTACTTTACTCAGCCAGATGGCATCGTCATGAGACAGCACTCATTGTGCATGTGCCGGTGGCACTTGACAGAGTTATAACACTAATAAAGTTCTAACATTCTACACGAAGGAGCGCTAAAATTAATTTGTGGGATGTTAAGGACATACACAAAGTGGTCGATTAGTTTAATAGTTAAACGAAATTTTTTGAAGCTCTAGAAGACAATACATTTGTGATAAAAAAAAAAAGGCGTAGCTGAAACTTTTTTTGTCTAGAACACATATTCAGTATGTGAGATATACATTGAGACTGGGTGTTCAAAGCAGCCTCTAGCAGCATTGTCAACAGTGTCTCAATTGTTACATGGTGGAAACGTATGTGAAAAAGTAAAAAACATGAGAGTGCACATCTGAGTGCCTGTTGCAAGCTACAATAAAGATTATTTGAGGTGTGAAGGGACATCAGATGTGAGGATTTGTTAGAGTATAACCTTTTTTGCACCATATGGCCTGCTGCATAAACTACTGATGACCTCAATATAATGCACCTGAGGAATATCAGCAGGCCTCCTACGCGACCCGTGGAGCCAAGAAACTGGCCGGCGATCACTATGCCCAAGAAAAGGCCCAACTTCTGACATGTGTCGCCGCAAAGCCCCGACGTCACATAGGAGTCGTCCACTCCCTGGTACCAACCCCATATGTTTGTCCTTTCAGCCGGACAACTGATGTCATCTGTACATCCACTCCTTGTAGTGCCCTAGATTCAACTAAAGCGCACGAGAAGAAGTCAACACGTTACATTACTGGCAAAGTCAGCATTATTGAAACACTTGTTTCTATACACACTATGGTATTGTCTGGTGAATGCTGGCTGCTGGTCAAAAGTGAAACAGCACGGGGACGATACCCATGATGGTGAGATGTAACGATATTTGGCGCTGCTGACTGACAGTGATGAAGTGATCCAGTGAGCCAATGTATAAAGGCCCGAAACGTCGATTCTAAGAAATGTGGTCCTTTACATGCCAACCGTTTGCGGATAAAAGTGGTGAATTTACTAACATATTTCCTTTAAATGTATGACCAACTTACCGTAACGTTCATTGGAGATGTACCCGTAGTCCTACAGCCGGCATGGCAGGGTGAGAAGTAGCTCATCATTTTGTTGCTCGAGCACACGGGCTCGTATATCTGTGTGTTGCAATTGCAATCCACATTGCACTTCTCCAGCAAAGAAGTCCTGCAAAATAGAATGTCTCGTCAGTACGTGCAGGACATGAAAGTCCACATTCAGCCTCTTTTCTGAGTACCTCCTGCTGTGGACATGCACACCTATCATTGGTTTTCTTTTCGCATCTTCACAAGCAATTAAAGAAAAAACTTTTTTTAAAAGGAAGCATACTTTGATGTCCTATAAAAATGTCAGCCCAGTTAACGATGGCATTGCTTTATCATATGCGCTGTTCTGTGCTTGAGTTGAGATAAATAGGAGAAGAAGGTGAATGAAAAAAAAAAAAGTTAAACATTGAAGCGAAAATTAATCAAAGTGTATTTTATCTGGGCGTCTACACCTCTGTCTCTGGCAGCTTCCACATTAGGACATTGTCATGAAAATGTTCGCTCGGCTGTTAAAAAGCTCTTCAGTTGGATCAAGACGGTTTTGATCTAAATTCTTAATTTACAATCACTAGTTATATCGATTTTTTTTTCTGAATGCATACGAATGATGTATGCTTGTTTTTATTAGACTTCATGTTATGACCAATCTCCCAAATTGATTGTGAGCCGCCAACGTAGCAGCTAAAGTTGGAAGAACTCTCTTTGTTAATAACATCACGTGGTTTACTATGGTTGTAATTATTTCTTGTGGTTCATACTACGAGACCGGGACTATGCAAGGATGACGGGTATTGCGCACTACACGTCTTGTCCCTGTGGCGTCCCTGTCTCGTAGTATGAAACGGAAAAATTCATGAAGGAACACCAACTAGCCCAATTCATTGCTTTGCATAGAGTGCTGATCCTCGACAACCCCGTGCAAGAAAATGTGGGCCATTTTGTCGACCTGTAGCTGTGCAGTATATTGCAAACAAGTTTTATATCATGGAGACTTCATATGGATTTGTGACTCACGCGCTGAGGTTACTGCCAGGAGTGACGCCAGCTATGGTGGGGCTCTCGCAGCCAATGAACATCATGGCGACGAAGCCTGCCATCATGACCACCTCGACGAATGCCGAGTAGCCGGCCACAACACGTGGGCCTGGCCGGAACCGGTGTATGACGACGCCACCGACTAAGATTCCTACGATATTCGTCACCACCTTGGCCGCCCCTGGATGAATAAATCATAAGGGAGGAAGCAAGTCAGCATTTTTGTTATTGCTCTGCGCATGATTGTCGACATGCAAGACGCCAGCAGTCCAAATATTGACAGCAATGTCACCGTTCTAGTTCTCACAGATGCGCGCACTGGGCTGGTGAGGGGGGGGGGGGCCCTGTGCTCCCCTTGAAGGTGAGCCCTGCACCTTCAACCTTCAGCTCTGCTTGTATTAATAATAACAGATGCATAAAATGAAAGAAAAGAGACGGAGCATCCTCTAAAATATGTAGAGAATTTTTCCAAACAAAAACGTAATGACGTCTGCCTTACAACAGGTACACCAGAGCAGTTCACAGGAATCGTCATTGAACAATGCTCTCAAAATCTTAATAATAATATCTGGCGTTTTATGTCCCGAAGTGAGAGATTCCGTAGTAGAGGGTTTCGGAAATTTAGACCATCTGGTGTTCTTTAATGTGCACTGACGTCACACAGTGCACAGTACCAATTCGCCTCAACTGGAATGTCACCGCCGCGGCCTATTCGAGCGTGTGACCTTTGTGTCAGCGGCCGAGCACTGTAACCACTTGTCCACCATGGCATACTGATCTTAAAATCTTGTTCACAAGCAAGTGCTGTGCAGTCTGTCTGTCCTGGAACATCCAAAATACGCATTATCTGTTAATTTGGGTCCATGCACATTTGAAAAGGAGGTGCCTTTACCTAATTGACTACATGATAGTGGGCAATGAATACACAGTGAAAATTTGGCATCGTGCCATTTTATTACATAATCTAAAGCCGTAGGGATGGGAAACTGGATACTTTTAGGACGTTAAACATCTCATATCAGTTAATCAAATCAGTGGTAAACAAGCTACGAATTTTTTTAAATGATATAAAAGGTGCCAGGGCCTCAGAGGTGCTCCTGATTTTGTTTAAAGGCACCCTGCAACATTTTCAGCATGGTGCGAAGATGCTGCCGATCGGTGGTCGAGGCTCCTCAGAACATGAGCCAGACCTTGTAGCGCAGCAGGGGGCCTGCAATGAAGAATTCATTCTCAAAGGCAGCGAGAACTGGCTTGCTCTTCATTTGACAAATGATGCCACAAACCCAAATGATCGCGTCATAAGTACAAAGTTCACGGCTGTTGGCTGTTTTGAGCATCGTGAGCTGCATAGTTACTACGGCAGCCGCAGGATGCTGCCAACGTGCCAGCTTGCGATCACGCGGAAAGTAAGCTGCGCGTTCGAACAGAAAAGAAAAGAAAGTGTTTACAATCATGTTGCGTGCTGACGAACGGACGTAGCTTCTTCCCACTTGTTTTGAAAGCTGTGCAAAGTGCAGAACAGTGATGTGTCTGTCCCTCAGCAGCACTCGTATTCGCAAGCAAGTGCGTGTTGGCGGTAAAGGAAATGTTTGTTCGTGATGCAGTGATGCCACATGACGTCCCGCGCTCAAACCACGAATTCGTTGCGGTGTTTTACTTTACGATCACTCTTTGTTTGTATGTAGGAGTGCTTTCCCGACAAAATAGCCGGCGTGCATAAACTGACGATACCCGGTAGTCGTGTGCTGGGTTTTGGGCGTAGCGGTGATCGCAGTCCACTGCACCTGTTTCTTGATTGGGTTTAAGCTACACACATAAGCTCGATCTCAGGGGAAATGCTGAAATTCATGCTGACTTCGTTCGCTGCTTTGACCACCACGCTGCTATAGTTGTACGCTGTCGGCTGTGGCCATCTTGTCTATCTTTGTCTTGGTATGTCGTGATTACGCGAGAGAGCCACCGATAACTAACGCAACGGCCGTAGCAGGCACAGTGCAGATTCCGAGATCTACTGTGCGCATCCCCTGCTTGCGCACATGCACACATCCCTTGTAGGCTCAGCGCATGTGCAATGTTGCTCCCGCTTGCGCATTGCATGCCTGTTATGCTTAAATTGTCTATTATATCATGGAGACATCCAGCGCACTCCTGCCGTAAGGCCTACGTCAGTTTTCTTTTTCAGATGTCATTGCATAACCGAATGGTAATATAGCGACAGCATCACTCATTCGCGCCGTCTTACCTGTGTAGTAGTTGGCCTTGGAAGCCGATTGCCTGAACTGGAATTCGACGTACTTGCTGAACGAGGTGCCAAAGCCGGCTGTTGCGAGAAAGACGAACACCAGGCCGATTGTGTGGAACATGAAGATGGGGTTACGGACCAACCGCTTCACGATCACTATGATGTCTGCAAAGTAGGGGAAAAAGTAGTATGGAAGTATGTTAGCGTGTATTATAAGGCACACTCACTTTTTTCAGCATGTGGGTTCCATTGCATAATGGTATCATAGGGCACACGCTGTTTTATTGAACACGTAGCCCAAAACCGCTGTACCAAATAGTTGGTGGGCAAGCAGGTACACAAGAGAAGAGATCAGAACAGCACGAATGCCCACACACACACAAAAAAAAAAAGCTGGAAGAGTGCACAGTGGGGGAAAAGAGGTGTAGCAACTATCTGCGTGTGCACAGGCATGTAGCGCTACCTGTAAATACGCCAGACGTCTGGTTTACGCCTGAGATACCTAGTCAGGCATTTATTCTTCATGCAAGCTGGTGACTGCATGGTTGCTTGTGATGGCTGGTGGCTTCATGACTCTGATGGCTTTATGATGACTGGCCCACATATTGATATACCAGACCTCTACCATCAGGCGCGTGGTTGCATTCTCGTGCCTGTGCGACGCTGTATAATCATCGAATTACTGTGTGCATTTACTGTTTTGACAATGTAAAGATAAATTAGATGGTCAGCCTTCCGTTAGGACCTCTCATGCTCGCTTAATATCTGATTAACCAAAGGCTCACCATCTAATCTATCTTTACATTACTGCGAGTGCCAATGTACACTGACATTCGATTCATGTGCACTGTTGTACAGGCACAAGAATGAAGACTCATGTCTGATGGTAGAGGCCTGGAATACCGATAATAGTGGTAGCGCATGCGTGATTAACTTGCATAAAGAAGAAAAGTAATGCCTGAGTAGTAATCTCTCGCCAAGACCTCCACGTGTGCCGGATTGGCGGGCTACGCTGCACACCTTCTGCACATACGCAGATAAGCTTTTGTGCCTACTCTCTCTTCCGCTGCTGTGTGCTCTTTCAGTTATTTCATGTTTGTGTTATTCTGATTGCTTTTCATTTGGTCAAGTGTGGATCCCTTTATTCTATTATGAATTTATATTAACATGATCATTTAGGATTAAAATATTAACTAGCTAAATGATAATTGTTATTTGTTTGTTCTGTGCTAGGGTCAGTAGATGGTTTTCTTGGAATCGAGTGTGCCCTTTTGAGGTCCATGTTTTGTGCGGCTTCCTGCAACCATATAGCAAACATACCAGGAAGATTTCTTCTATTCTTCCCACAGAATCCTGGCGGCGAGTTAAGCTCACCAGGATTGAATCAAGTCCTATTGCTTAGCTTGTCTTGACGGTTGCCCCCAGAAGCGATTGGTTGAGAATGGCTGTATAGCCAACACACGGTATCTTTATGGAAAGTATGACGTTGTGGACTTCAACAAATAGGAAATCATTTTCTGCTAGTTCACCATCAGATAACCGGCTGGTCATCGTAGGAGATGTCGGAAATGACAGTCATGCTGAAACCTTATTCTTAGGCCTGAAATACTACATTTAGCTTTACCTAAAACCTGTCATAATATATAATACATAATACACAAGAAAGGAGATGACAAGGACTTGAAGAATTACAGGCCGATTAGCTTGCTCTCTGTAGTATACAAGCTATTTACAAAGGTAATTGCTAACAGAGTAAAAAAAAAAAACATTAGAATTCAATCAACCAAAGGAACAAGCAGGATTTCGAACAGGCTACTCAACAATCGACCACATTCATACTATCAATCAGGTAATAGAGAAATGCTCAGAGTATAACCAACCACTATACATAGCCTTCATAGATTACGAGAAGGCATTTGATTCAGTAGAAATATCAGCCGTCATGCAGACACTGCGGAATCAGGGCGTCGATAAAGCATATATAAACATCCTGGAAGAAATCTACAGGGGATCAACTGCTGCCATAGTGCTTCATAAAGAAAGCAACAGAATACCAATCAAGAAGGGTGTAAGGCAGGGGGACACAATCTCCCCAATGCTATTTACCGCGTGCTTACAGGAGGTTTTCAGAAGCCTAGAATGGGAACAGTTAGGGATAAGAGTTAATGGAGAGTACCTTAGTAACCTGCGCTTCGCCGATGACATTGCATTGCTGAGTAACTCAGGGGACGAATTGCAACTCATGATTACGGAGTTAGACAAGGAGAGCAGAAAGGTGGGTCTTAAAATGAATCTGCACAAAACGAAAGTAATGTACAACAACCTCGGAAAAGAGCAGCGCTTCGAGATAGGTAATAGTGCACTTCAAGTTGTAAAATACTATGTTTACTTAGGGCAGGTAATAACTGCGGAGCCGAACCACGAGATTGAAGTGACTAGAAGAATAAGAATGGCGTGGAGCACATTTGGCAAGCACACTCAAATAATGACAGGTAGATTGCCACTATCCCTCAAGAGGAAGGTATATAACAGCTGTATCTTGCCGGTAGTTAGCTACGGAGCAGAAACCTGGAGACTTACAAAGAAAGTTCAGCTTAAATTGAGGACGACGCAGCGAGCAATGGAAAGAAAAATGGTAGGTGTAACCTTAAGAGACAAGAAGAGAGCAGAGTGCATTAGGGAACAAACTGGGGTTAAGGATATCATAGCTGAAATCAAGAAGAAGAAATGGACATGGGCCGGGCATGTAGCGCGTAGACAGGATAACCGCTGGTCGTTAAGGGTAACTGACTGGATTCCCAGAGAAGGCAAGTGGGTTAGGGGGAGACAGAAGGTTAGGTGGGCAGATGAGATTAAGAAGTTTGCGGGTATAAATTGGCAGCAGCAGGCACAGGACCGGGTTAACTGGCGGAACATGGGAGAGGCCTTTGTCCTGCAGTGGACGTAGTCAGGCTGATGATGATGATGATGATGATGATGATGATGATGATGATGATGATGATGAAAACCTGTCAGCGTTTTAAGCATGCCACACTTAGTAACTAGATTAGTTTCAAAAGAGATCACTCGCATCGCGTATATGACTGTATTGTCAGTATCGAGAAATCAAGTATGGAAATTGTATAGGGCTGCTGTTTTTATCCAGCAGTTAAGAGATTATTACATAAACAGAGTGGTAACGTAGATCCGTAATATCACATAAGGAGGGGTACTTGTAATTATGCCATTCATTATGTTCTATAAAAAAGCTTTGTCAACATAAATAATTTTTCAATTGCAAAGCTCAAGGCTTCAGCAGTTAGGCAACTTGCTGACCTTTTGCTGTGACATATGCATAATCTTGATGGCATCATAAGTAATGTCGGGAGCGCTAAATCACTCAACTTGGCATTGTTCTAGCGAAAGTGCATGAATATGCATTTACTTTTAGAGCACTTGAATCCAAGAAATGGACCTGGCACTTCATTGTACCCGTAGGCCTGCCGAGAATCACGAAAATTTTCATATTTTTTTCTATGTGTAATTGTCAGGCTTTAGTCCAGTTTTTGACACCAAGACTCTCGGTTATGTAAATCTTTCTAGCATGGGCATCAGTGACCTTTCTTACTCTCTGCTGCGTGATGGCTTGTTAAAATGCATTACAGACTGTATTAACGAACAAGGGCGAGAAATTTGTTTCCACAGATAAATGTGTCTGTGTGAAATCTTTTTTTAGAAACTCTTGCCAAGTGTTTAAAGCCGACGCTGGTTGGTTTTAGACGAAGTGTTTTTGTCTTTTGGATATAGAGCATTCTAGTAGGTATTAATTTTGCCCTTATTCTTACTGATTTATGTCTTGGTAAGGTTGACAGAGGTTTGGAGAACACCTTGTCAGCACGCCAACTTCAGTCATGAATCAATACAAACTATTTTAATTATTAGTCTTTCTAGTAGCTGGGTACACTTTCTTGTGAATTCTGAAATAGTACATATGGTGTGTCATGCATTAGTGTAGTAACATCGTAGTCATGATTTCAGCGCTTGCTCTCCTTGATCTGTTTATTGGTTGATGGTGCTCCCAGCTTTCAGTCAGTGTAATAACAGGACGTAATAAACGTTCATGCCAATAACCTTTCATCATGGCGATGCTGAAGCCATGCTGGCCCGTTCCTTCAGCGCCCTTGGCTGTCTTGTTCGCCTTCACCACAGAAAGCCTCTGCATGCGGTTCACTTTGTAGTTCTTGCCTGCCGGCAGGATGCGCGGGAACATCATCATGGGCAGTGAAACTACGGTGAGGCCAACGGCGAACAGTATGTAGCCCATCCACCAGGCGCCCACCCAACGGGGGTCTTTCGGCGAGATGCCTGGATTGTCTGTGCAGAGAGTTGAAGTGTGACAAATATAGGTTTCTATGTCGTTTTTTTTTTGAGAGAGATAAAAACAAATGACAAGGATTGAAGGTCAACCAATGGTAAACATATGGTTTGCTACCCTACTCTAGGGGTACGGGAATGGGAAATTGGTGGGAAGAACAGAGGCACGGAAGAACAAACAAAAGAAAATGATGCAGTGACCTGTCTAATCGATCGCTGCCACGCACAAAAAAAAGTTCAATACGGCCCTAATAGATTTCCGCTATGACGGCAGTCAGGTCGGCATTCTATAGACTGTTCTGACAGCAGCCTGTTGTCAAGCTACGTCAACACAGAAGCTAGTGGCAATCTGTGCATGCTGTAGCAAGCATCGACAATGTTCTGAGCAGGTACCAAGAACACTAAGAAGAGGGAATAAGCACTTAGTTCGTAGCACATGATCTTTGAGAAAGTAGTGTTAATTGTGGGTCTTTGTTCTTCCTTGTTTATTAAGTTTGTGCTGCTCTTCTCAAGACAATACTCTAACTATGAATGTTTCGAAATTTCCTGGCAGGCCTGATTGCACATCCACTGTCGTTGAGCAGCTTGCTACAGACGACATTCGTACATTGCTTTGTTCTCTTTTTATTGCTTTGTGGCACTAGGACTGCTTCTGACTATATCTATTACATGGGTAGCCAGGTAACAGTCCAAGTACACGCAAGAACGGGAATCCGGAAAGACACAGACGAAGCACTAGTTCTGATGAAACGCTTATTCATGACCCTGTTTGAATGCAAATACGGTCTCAAAAGGCTTTGTTAGGAATAGTGTTTCGCCTATATATTTTCTTGCTCCTGTACAGGTGTATATTGCCGCATTATGTCAACTTCGTATCACCGGACTCGTCCGTACGTTCATTTACGTGCCCTGTATTTATCAATCTGAGAAGGTTACTCGGAACGTGAATGCACAATGCGCAACCTTTGGTTGTGTTCTGTTTGTTCATCTTGGTAAGATTCATCATAACACAATTATTGAAGCTGTATATATTGTCAATTGTGAATGCACTCGGCTACCAGCCTTTGTTTTCCGTCGAGCACGACATGATAAAGAGCCATTGTTTTGGTTCAAATTTTCTTTTACTGTTACAATAAAACCTCTGCGCGGAGTTTTGTGCGCATGGTTTCATCGTGTGGTGATTAGTGCTATAAGTTAATATCAGTTCATAAAAAAATCGGTTTTGCCGCAAGGCTGATGTAATGAATGCAGTAGCAACATATTTGAGTGTTCTTAGAAGTAAAGCTAGCAGCTTCATTACGATCGCATCTTGCGTAACTCTACAAAGCGCCAGCGTAAGGGAATACGGCTGCTTGAGAGAGAGAAGCGGTTTTCGAGCTGTCGGTCGTCCCAACGCAAAGTAAGCTCTGAAAACGCAGCACATACTAACTATCCGAGCCGTCTACCGATAACGTGCGCGCCAATGCTCGCACCCGTGTATATTTATATCAAAGTTCGCAGTTGCTGCTCGAGCGACGCGCCTCCCTCCCCACCGGCGACCCTTCACACTCCTTCGCCCGGCGAAAGACGGGAGTGTCTCCTCTCTGCTTGAGGAGCTATCGACGGTAGGCCTCGCACGTGGGTGATGTTATCGCATAGACCACTCGTGCGACGATGATTGCCGGCTCGTTTCATCTTTGATTCAGCCGTGTTCGTCCCCAGGTGGTCGAAATTTCTGGAGCCCTCCACTTCGATGTCTCTTCTAATCATATGGTGGTTTTGGGACGTTAAACCCATCAACCATCATCATTCTCAGTGCTCGTGCGCTTTTACTCGTGCGTAGAGCATACGATTCGCTGGGTGGTGTGATCGATTCGGACTTTATACAGCACAGTGTGGCGATGGCAAAGATCTACCGAGTGTGTCCATAGCAGTTGATTGTCCGAGAGTGTGGATGTCTTCGGATGTTATACTCACGGAAAGGGTCTTCGTAAAAGCGGAGGCATATCCCGGCTGTCAGAAATCCGACAACGGGACCGAGCAGTCTGAAGGCGAGTCCCATGCCTGCGGGTGTAGTAAGTTTGTTTTGTTTTGCAGAACAGACCAAGATGACAGGCAACATGCAAAATAACAAATTTTTGCAAATAGAAACAGCACCAAAGCAGGCTATAGCCTGGTGGTTTAATATTTTGATAATTTTCTCGATTCACTGGCAGGTTAAAAAAACATGACCAAGGACACAAAAAGAAAACTCTGCTCGAGGTTTTTTTTTTTCCACGAAAGATATTGACGTTTCGCTCGCTAAACACGCACCCAAGTGGCGTGAAAAATTTTGTGTATACCTTCATGCATCATTTATTTCCAAAAAAACGTCAACAGGTATACCTTGACGAAAAAAGGAAATAGCAGATAACAATACGCGATGTATTGCCGTACGATCGCGTTGTACGCGATCGTAAGCGATCCTGACAAATAAGAGCAAGGTATTGGCTCAGTCTCATATAGCATTTAATCTATCCGGAAATAGCCAATGTTACTTTTTCACAAAAGTATTTCTACCACGGCTATTTTATATGCATAACTTAAAATGTACGCTGCTAAGTGGCACAAGTACGGATACTCACGAAAGCAAGAGAGATAGACGGATATGTGCGGAAGGTCTGTGCGTTTCTGTCTTCTTTTTTTCTTTATTAATGTCCGTCTGCGCCGCACCAGTGGACCTTACACTCAGTATACCCTACACTCAGCAGATTTTACATTAGTAGCCCCGCCGCGGCTGTCTAGTGGCTAGGGCACTCGGCTGCTGATCCTCAGGCCGCGGGATTGAATCCCAGCTGCGACGGCTGCATTTTCGGTGGAGGCGGAAATTCTATAGGCCCGTGGGCTCAGATTTGGGTGCACTTTAAAGAACCTCAGGTGGTCAAAATTTCCGGAGCATTCAACTACGGCTTCTCTCATAAGCATATAATGGTTTTGGGACGTTAAACCTTACGTATCAATCAATCAGACCGTATACACTTTCAGTAATACTCTATACAGTTTCTCCTTTTAAAGGATTCCTCAACCACTTTTCCCGGTAATCATATAGAATAACCTCAGTATCGCAGTTCATTAATGAGATAGAGTTAAAGAGCTCATTTCGCAGGGATTCTGGTGGTGGTGTCAGCGTCGTTCACTATAGCTGTGAGCGAAAAATCAGCGTTGTCCGCGAACAGAAATTGAAAATATCTGCAAACAAATTGAAAAGAAAAATCTTTGACCCAAGCGAGAATTAAACGCAGTCCCTTTGCGTGACAAGCAGCTGTTTTACGATAGAGCTACGCATAGGCATGCGGGGGGGGGGGGAGGCGAAGGTTTGTCGCAGCCCCTTCCTCCCCCCCCCCCCCCCCCCGCCGTACAGACGCGTAGGGGGTACATGGCTAACCTTCAAAAGGATAGTTATAGAGAAGTGGGCACTTGGCAAGTGTGCTTGCAGTAGGCATTGTAGAATAGTCTGAAACGGCCTATGTTGCGTGCACAAACTCAACGAAGAGTTTAAGGCAATGCGCACGGGGAGCTATTATGCTGTTGCGTTTTATCTTTGAACGCGAAGCTCAAGTTGAAGCGACCGCCACTATTTGTCTCACGAATCGATTATCGCAAAAGTGTCTCTAATCAGTCAAAAAAAAAAAAAAATGACCGGGATTACAGGCATTTGTCGCACGCTTCAAGCGTTTTCTCGAGCTCTTTGTCCCGATGAATACGCTGCAAGCTAAGCAGGGATGCACGGGGGAAATACTTCACGTCAGCGAAAGTGGTGAAATGCGATTGCTCTCTCCCGTTATAATTCCTGTGTGTTAGTATGGTGAAGTTGCATAATGTTAGCAAACGATGAAGCGCGGCGTCGGCAAGGGGTATGGCTTCTCGCGGTACGAAGTACATCTATAATGCAAACGGTGCTCTTGATTCATGCCGGCTGTTGGCTTATATATCATACTATCTGCCGTTTGACGTCAAGCAGCAGGTGCCGGCAGCTCCTAAGAGAGTAACCTCTGTATGAGAAGAGAACTCCTGAGAAAGTGACAACTTCGCACTTCGCTGCAAAGTCTCTTTGCCGAGCATGACTGAAAGATATTGCTTAGCTGTTCGCAGCAGCGTCTGCTAACTGCAGGATGTGTTCGCTCGCCAAGTCCGAGGAATGGTTTATGAACTCTTTTTACGCACCCTTGTAGATGCGATCGAGAAAAACAAAACAATGAAGGTTGGGCTTACCGAAGTACAAGGGCGAGTTCTTCTTGCGTATATTGTCGTCCATGTAGCTGCTGCCTGCGATGAAGAAGGTGGATGCGCCGAACCCATTCAGAAAGTTTGCGACGAAGAAGAGTGCGAAGGGCGTGTAGCTGTCCGCCATTGAGGGGCCCGAGCATTCGCGGTGTCCAGTCATCGCCGAGTTGCACAGCAGGCTGTCGGGACTGCGTTTTCTGGCTCCCAGTGCGTGCGCGGTGTTTGCTGCGAGAGCGACAAATTATACGTGGCTTTTTTGTCTTCAAATACTAGCTGGGCTATATTTATAATATTGTCGGTTAGAACCTAAGAAGAAACCCACAGTTTCACCACAAAGATGAAGCAATATATGCAATCGCACACAAATTGTAATGTCCTGCGAAGCGAGTCTGGCAGCTAACTCGTCTAAATCCGATCTTGCGTGACTCTACCAAACGATGGTGCAAGAGAATAGGGCCGCTCCGGGGACACTTAGCACAATCTCTTTGCGTTGAGAGGGCAGCACAAGCCGCCCGTCGATTGCTGCCGAGATAGCGCGTGTGCCTGTAATGGCGACCGCGCCCTTAATATCAAAGTTCACATTGTTGCTGCTTGAGCGACAACCCTCCATCCTCGAGTTTTTTCATGCTCGTTACTCTCAGATGGACATTTCCTTTCTGCGTCTACAGCAGACCTCTCGAGCGGAGTGATGTCAACGCATGCGCCCTCTGAGCGACGGAGATGGGGCGCCTCGTTTGATCTCTGCTTCAGCTTCGTTCATCGCCCCACTCGCGTGCGTTTACACGCGGGCAGAACATACGACGCGTGGGTGTATGCTATCAATTCGGACGTTATATGGAACATGACGGCGACGCCGACGGCAATTACCCGTCGAGAGTGTCCATATAATTGCTATCGCAATAAACAAAAAATCACCGTCCCAGCACTCCGTACAAATGGTTAACCAGCGAAAGCTGAAAAGCGTGACCGTGTGTTTAGCTGTGGGTTCAACCCGAGGCTGCACTGAAGCCTTTCACAGTTATTGGTTACATGTTCGTGCTTGTTAATGAGGTTGGACAAACGTTTGGCTTGGGTTTACCACAACGTTTATTTGATATGACCGGGTTCATGCCTGGCATGATCACGGTCATGCCGAGGCAGGATCATGGTCATGTGAAATAAACACTGCGGTAAACGCAGGAGGAGTGTAATGAGCGGATAAATGCCTTACGCAATGCGTTAACCACAGTGGTTTTTCTTTAACCACATGCGTTCACAGACGTCGCAGCCGAAGCCCACGTGCCAGTGGAGCAACTGCCGCCGAAAGCGGGCGTTCGCCCCGGTGAACACGCTCTCGCAATCATCACGTTGATGCTGTCGTGCCCGCAAGCTTTTGACTTCACGCGCTAACTCGGTGGTGTGGTTTTCAGGATCCGCCCGCCACCGGAGCTTGCATTCCAGTTCGCGATTTAGTGTGGCTTGGAAGGCTGCCGAATGATCGGTACGCAGTTGCTACTGGTATACCCGACCTCCCGGGACTGTTTATGTACCAGGACTGCACCATCGGCCCGGCGAATGCCAGCTCTCGCACATTCCCGCTGTCGGTGTTCCTATGGAGTTGTCCGTGGCTTAACCCATGTGGAAGCTCTCAATAGACAGATGCGCGCGTGCTCAGCGCCATGGCTGTGATGGGATGGACGATGTCACTAGCAGCGCATCCAATAGCGCGCGTGCTTGGGCACCGACGCTGAGAATAACGGAACTGATAGAACAACCAATGGAGACCACTCGTGACACCACTGCCGAATGGTTTTGCGCTTCTCTTAGCCATATACAGCTTTCGCTGTAAACATGTCAGCTTCGCCCACAGCAATCGCTGTCCTTCCATCAGAAAATTCGCACAGTGCCCCCTTTTCACCCTTTCCTTCAAAATAAAGCTTTGTTGTTCTTCTTCTTTATTAGCATTTGCTCATTTGCATCATGTGAAGCGCTTCTCGAGTGTTGGAGGTCGCCGACTTATAACCATACAGCCCCACGTTTGTGCCGCTGATTTTAGATCGAATACTTCATTGTCCTAGAAAATTGTTTCGTCAGGTTGTCGGAAATCGCTGCTCAAGGAAACGTGATGTTTTAGGAAGTAATGACGAGCTTTGAATTCTTAATATGCCTAGTATGTGCATTATCCGAGAAGTATACTGACGGTTCGTGCGGAAACCAGTTAGCACGACTCTTTCCCGGTTTAGAAGTAAGCGCCTCGCGGTTCTGTGGGCGAAGCTTACATATTTTTATTAGGTTGTAACCGGCTATAGGTAACCGCAAAATATGCGAAGTTCATGTCATTGTCAGGTTGCAGTGGTGCTACTGCATCGGTACCTACGTTAGCAACGTACACACCCGCTATTCCGCAAAGAACGGCGCGTTTGTAGTCATCGCACCGCAACCTAAAATGGGTTGAAGGTGTCTCACAGAGGATGTGCAGTCCCGGTCCGTAGATCATGTAGGGCACGATGCTGATGAAGCAGCTGAGCACCACGATGAGTGCGCCCATGCCCATGATCTTGGGCCGGCTGATGCGGTTCGCGTAGTAGCCGGCCAGCAGGTTGATGATGATGGGACTCAGGTTGTCCGCGATCAGGATGATGCCCGTCGTCTGGCTGGACATCGCGAAGCGCCTCTCGATGGTCGACAGCGTGCCCACGAAGTACGTCTTGTACGCACCCTGCGAGGGAACACAAATTAATAAATAAATAGTCAAGTGATACGTCCCAAAACCACCATATAGTTATGAGGAACGCCCTATATTGTGGAGGGCTCCAGAGATTTCGACCATGGGGTGTTCTTTAACGGACACTGACATCGGGCAGTGTACGGGCCTTTAGCGTTTCACTTTCACCTGAAAGGGACCGATGTGGCCGGCATCGAGCCCGCGTCATTGGGTCAGCAGCCGGCGTGCGCGTGGGACGGGAGAGGGGGCAAGAAGGGGGTGACGAGTCGGCACCATACATTGATATAGTGAGGAGGGGGGTGCTGCGACAAACCTTCGGCCCCCCTGAAAACCCTGCGTACGCCTATGTCAGCAGTTGGGTACCGTAACTACGAATCCACCGTGGCGCACGTGAACGCACATCGCGAAGGCATTGTACGATCACAGGAGGGAGCTCGAAAAGGAACTGTCCCTGAAAGATCAGGGCAGTTAAGCTTGGTACAATGTATAGTCATTGTTCTCATTTTAATGCTCAAAAGAAAGTAAGTCCTTGGTATCACTCCCAACAGACTTGCTGACTGACCGCTTATGTACATCATCTTTGTTTGTAAAGAAAGCTATTTTGCGACTGTTTCATATGGTGTAGTGTCAGAAGTGGGAACAGGGGGTGTTGTGTGACCGCGTGGAGTTGACTTGGATCATAGTATGCACAGATGATAAAACAACGTAAGAAAAAAGACGAAGACTACAGAAAGGGACAGGGCGCTGATCTCTCGCCCACGTCTTGTTTCTCGCGCTATTTCATCGGCTAAGTTGAGTAATGTAACAACCAGGCCTAGTCAAGGCGCTAACATGGTGTCCATGATCTATGTAGCTTTTTTTATTTCATTACTTACTGTTGAACAAAACTACACGATGAAAGCGATCATGGTACTTTATCTGCGCTAGCAGATAAAGTACCATGAGGGCTGACGACGCTTCTGAGGGCTGATGACGTAGAGGGCTGACGACGCTTCTTAGGTCTGTGAGCTACCGCAGCGTGTAGGCGCGCTTACCTGCAAGATGCCCATGATGCTGTAGACGATGAAGAACATTCTAGGGGTGGCGAGTCGCTGCAGGATCCGCGGGTAGCAGCTGCCGATGCCGCACATGTAGTCACGCTCCTCTTGGAGCTCGCCATCGGCACCGCCGCCACCAGGGACGCGGCCAGCGGCCGGAGCGGCATTGCCGTTCGTCTTCGCGTCGGACCGGGGCAATTCTGACGTCGCCCGGTCGATGGTCCATGGCTGCTTCTGAGTGCCTGTTGAAGGACAGGAACGGAGAGATCGAACCACATGACGCTTAGCTAGCATAGAGACAGCTGGAGTTAACCTGTGTGTTGTACAATGGTGGAGGAAGTTAAGGGAACTATAATCAACCTCCTAAAATACGTGACACGAGCGCGTTATTCTCTTCTGGCGTGTCAAGTCTTTTCGGCCAAATTCGCGACGCCAGCAGGCTCTTCACGTGGTGTCACAAAGCAATAAGCCCTCCGTTGGTCGATATGAGAGTAGTATCAGTCGTGAATTGTCTCCTATGCACTGCTTTGCTGTGCAGTCGCACGACCGTTCTAGCTTGTATCGCGTCGCAATCGTGCAGGATCAACTTCACTTTTTGTTCGTTATGTGCGTTTGTGACTGCGCAAGCTAATGTAACAGCGTGTAGGCGAAAAACGGCGAAGTTCTAACAGGCTCAACGCTTAGTGCGTATACATTGTCCACGTGTGTTATATAAAAAAAAACACAAATGACGACGACACTTGTTTCGCTTTCACAATAGCGGTATGTTGTTGTAAGGGCACTCGCGCATGTCTGCTTCGATTACCTGCATCTGTTTGTGTCCCGAAATTTCCTACAATTATTCAAGCGTAAACTTGTACCTGTCAAAGCAGTTCAAGAGCCAGAGCTGTAGGCCGCGCGACAGCCATAATGCGTATACTGCGTTACCTTTTTATAGTGTGCACTGTACAGCATTGTTTGTGTACACTACGAACACATCGCGGCACATTGTTCACGTATCTATTGTGCTTCTAACTGTACCACCTTATGAACTCAAGTGTGACGCCACCGTGTAGGCGTGCTTCCTAAAAACAATAAGACCACATGTGGAGGATGACTGTACACGTGTCTGCGAGGGTTGTGTTGGCAAGCATTGACTAAGGCGCGGCCTGAAACGTTGACGCGGCTGCAGAAATGAAGCCTCCAGATAACAAAACCTCCTTGAACGAGTTACATTTATTCACATTGCGACAGTTCCACTTTACCTAAAAAAAGAGGAAAACGTAAGAAAAGTCATGCGTCTGATAATGGGATCGAAGTAAAGACCCCTGGTACAAAAGTGAGATGCTGTGTATAATAAGTAGCGTTGGTAATATAAACCGTTTAGCCATGCCGTCACTTCAGGGATACGCTATTGTCATAATGCACGTGTTGCCTCGGCGCTCACACAATCAAGCTTGCGTCACACGCTTGCAAGTGTCCGCCTAACGAGAACTAGTTTTTTTTTTTGTAGAAACTGTTCCATGCTGCGTAACCAGCCGACCGCTAAACATATCGCACAATGCGTTGGTTAGGCATTATACTGTAAAGCTCTTTCTTCCTGAACGCGAAACGATGCCTGACATCTGTGACCAACCTGCGCTATATCTGGTAATGAAACGTCACAGTAACTAATGAAATATTATATCCCGGTCACATGCAAACCTAACGTCGTTTACATGGAATGACATTCAATGGTGGGCTTCATGTAATTTTACCTGGCTGCTGTCATGACTCACAAGAGGAAGATAAATATCATTTTGAAATGACGACCATGAACTTAGCCCTCCTGAGCCATGATTTCGCGGCGAACTGAAAGTTTACCAAGAGTTTCGTATCACATGCGTGTATCCTCGAAAATAATTTGTATATAACTAAAAAGATGATCCTGCAATACAAATGTAGCCGCGTTAAACAACTTGCCACAATCGCAGCGATATCAATGAAGTCAAGCCTAAAGCCAATCGAAGGCCAACACTGGCCGACGATATGACCGGGCGTGAGCTGAAGTATGGGAGAACTATAGTGACAACTCTCCCCCACCGGCTGCCACAAATGAGACGGTCGGCTGCTAATTCGCGTATATAGTCACGAAAGCCGTGCACTAAGGTCGATCACCAAAACACGTGCAATCGCATGGTCACGACGCGCGATAGAGGCGATAACGAAGCGACAACAAAGCACAAATGGCCGGCGTCCAGCCAATGTAGTTTAGCAGTTGATGTATGTAGCGCGAAACAACACACGCACATGAAAAGGCACTAGGACACCACCCAATATAGCGCTTTCGTGTGTCCGTGTTTCGCTTCGCGGTACATCAATGCTTTTAAAGTGAATCACTAGCAAGCCCACATTGCATGTCTCGTCGGCTGCAGTTGAGAATACTTTTTTTTTCGGCGCGAGCTAATTACGTCGTACTAGTAATAGGTTCATCTATAGTAAAGAATAAGATATTTATGAATAGCAAAAGTTACGTGTACATGAGTTAACAGTCATTTCTCTTAAAGACCCTTACTGTCGAGACTTCACATTCCGTCTGACATCGAATGCGAATGTGTGTTGTGAACTCATTCGACAGGAAATATCATTTTAGTCGAATGGCATTAGTTTTTCCGTGCGACAGCTAAAAATTCACATTACAAACGAACGAGATTCGTTGTAGATTACATTAGATTTTACGTGTGGCAGGAGTGTTGGTCTAGTAAAGTATTTAGGCGTTCCACTTTTGTTCCTCAATTGCAGTTGCTGAGATTTCTCAATGCTTGGCTGATTCTCGTTGTGGTTTGCTTGTTATTGTGCGTGTGGGTGCCCTCCCTGAAATAACTGTTAGTCGAAGCTGAACGGTACATGCCCAAATCAATTTGATGAAAATAAACGAGAGATACTACGTCATGTGTACCACTTCCTTAAGAAGATAAATAAAAATTGATGTGTTCGTATGTTATACATATGATGAAGGATGAGAGGAAGCCAAAAAGAACACACATTTATCGCTTAGGTGGAATAACATAAAATCAACACAACAACAACAACAACAACAACAACAACAACAATAATAATAATAATAATAATAATAATAATAATAATAATAATATAATAATAATAATAATAATAATAATAATAATAATAATGATAATAATAATAATAATAATAATAATAATAAAAATAATAATAATAATAATAATAATAGTAATAATAATAATAATAATAATAATAATATATTTTAACATCGACCCCATACAAATGAATGCATGAAACAAAGTAAGATAACATTAAATAAATTACGTATTGCAGAGGCACACAGGCATGCACGTGTCGACTGTTTTGTTTCCCCAAAAGATGCACTGCGTTGACGTTACCGCAGTTGCTCAATGAAAAAACAAAAACAACGAAAACCAACACAATGCCTGATCTTTATATCGAACGGCCTTTGCGCTAGGTAGCTGCAGTTCTCCATCACGTTCTTCTGAAGGAATCTCGCCTAAAAAATGTAAACAAAGCTGTCCATTTTGTTTCCGAGCCAGTGCATATTTTGTTGCACTATGTTTATGAGATTTTTTCGCGGTGCTCTTAGAACGTGCGGTTAAGAAATAGCGGAAGGCTGCGAACACCTGGGATGTTGTTGTCGCGTGGTGTCGTGTCAGGTTCTGAATGATCGGCGTCTGACGGTGTGCATTTTCGAGCTGTATACCGTCTCTGTGGCGCGGGACGATGGATTGCAAACTCGTGCGACGCAGCAATGTGAGAAAGCGGAGGCCTCGCACGAGGAAAGGGGATGACGTGTACAGCTAGGAGTTAGAGTGAGATATAGGAAAAAAAAAAAAAACTGAAAATATATGTTTGAGGTGCCTGGTAGAGTGCATGATATGTTAATTTATTCAATAGTTGTTTATTCGCTTGAAACGAAACTAGATAATTTCTTCTACAATTTTTCTCTTCGTTTAGTGCGGTTTTTTGCAAAGCCAAAGTTGAGCAGCTGAATCAAGCTCGAGCATGCCAATGCCTTCTACATGATGAGCCGTATAAATGCCGTGTGTGACTTGGAAACACCGAAGAATGCAAAGAGAGAGAGAGAATAAACATCTTTACTTGCATTCGTGAAGTTCACGAGTGCATTGTGTACAGCATGTATGGTTGGATCGCTTGGTTAGTGACATTTATTCTCGAGTCATGATCAATGAAAGTAATGAACGTGACCTTTAAGAGGGAGCGGCGACAGCAAGGTGTGGGTTTAATGGGATATTATTCGTAGAGGAGCTTCAAGCCACTCTGTCGTGATGAGTATATTTAATGCCCATGTACTATACACAATGGCGGCAGATCCAGAGGTATAGGTAGGAGGGACCCCCCCCCCCCCCCCCCCGCCCCTCTTTTCGGCGCTTGTTATCGCCTGTGTCAGCACCTCTCCCCCACCACCCTTCGGCGCCTGTTATTCATATCCCATTACAGATTATAACAAATACGTAGGACCACTGTGAGCCCAAATAAAGAGTGTTCACGAGTTTAATAGTAACTACTGAAAATTAGATTGGACCGCCCTCTCCGGTTGTACTTCAGCGACCGCCCCGCCCCCCGTAAAGTTAGTGGCTAAATCCTGTCCCCCCCCCCTCTTACTAAAGGGCCTCAGCAAATTATTTTATTATTTATTTATTTATTTATTTTATTTTCACATACTGCAGCCCATTAAGGGCTAGGCAGGAGGGGTGAAAAAAAACAGAGCAGAGAATTACAAAGTACCACTTCCGGGACACACTATAAAATAACACACGAACAAAATACAATATACATGGCAATTCCATTCAGTACAAAAATAAACATCCAATGAATGGGCACTGCGGACGTACATATTAATAGAACAGAGCAAGGAACTATTGGTTAGATACGACTTCTAAGAGAAGGCAGGAATTGATTTATCGGTGCACCACTCCTAATCTCACCCGGCAGTAAATTCCATTGTTCTATGGTTCTAGGAAAAAAAGCTAAATTTGAATAGATTGGTGTGTGCGTGAAAAGGGGCGAGGTTTAGGGCCTGATTATTTCGAGTAACGGTTGGCATAGCATACGTAAGATAGCTGTTATCGGAGAGACGGTTAACTGAGTGAACGATGGCATGCAGAATTTGAGCGACTCGATATCTCGTCGAGTAGAGAGTGAGGTTAGATTTAAAGTGGTAATGGCGGATGTAGGCGAAAAATGGTGGTCATAGCGTCGACAAATGAAACGG